ATGGCCCTGGAGCAGGCGCTGCAGGCGGCGCGGCAGGGCGAGCTGGACGTGCTGAGGGCCCTGCACGCCGCCGGCCGCCTGCGGCCCTCGCTGCGGGACCCGCTGGACGCGCTGCCCGTGCACCACGCGGCCCGCGCCGGCAAGCTGCACTGCCTGCGCTTCCTGGTGGAGGAGGCCGCGCTGCCCGCCGCCGCCCGCGCGCGCAACGGCGCCACCCCGGCCCACGACGCCGCCGCCACCGGCCACCTCGCCTGCCTGCAGTGGCTGCTCTCGCAGGGCGGCTGCAGGGTGCAGGTGGGTGCTCGCGCCCCGGTGCCAGGCTTCCTCCCCTGGAGAGTCTGGCCTGCAGCCCCCCTAGGCTCCAGCGTGGGTGAGGCTGGCACCTCCCACTGAACCTGCGTCCAGCCCCTCCCCGGGCCAGGGCAAGGTGGCTCCTGGGTTCAGTAAGCACCAGGGCAGATCCCGTCCCGTCTTGGCCGTTGCGGGGCGAGCACCCAGGTGGTGGGGAACCAGAGGGGCTGGGGCAAACCACTGACCCAGGGGGCCCGGAAGGTGGGGGTGCATGAGGGCCTGGACATAGAATCAAGCTCAGGGGACCCCCATTATATCTGGAGGGGTGGGCATAGCCCACTCCAGGCTGAGAGCAGGTGTTCCCAAGGCCCCACCTGGCCTCCCGACCCCGGCTGGTGGGAGCCTGGCTCCTTCCGAGCTGGGGAGGAGGTCGCTCAGGCCCCGGTGTCTCTCCTGGCCACAGGGCACCCACAGGTGCTGGGCCGGGGGCTCAGGGCGTTCCCACCCCCCTGGAGCTGCCAGTCTACGGGGCAACACACAGCAAACCCACAGGCTGAAAAGCTAACCAGGCACCCCCAGGCCCTGCAGGGCCAGCGATGGAGCGCCTCGGGGAGCAGTTGGGTGAGGTGGCCGGGAAGGCCCCTCTGAGGGGGGCTGAGGAGGAGGAACTGGCCAGGTGCTGGCCAGACAGCTGCCGTCCAGCACAGGAACAAGGAGTGCCCAGCGCTGCGGCCCACACGTCCTGTCCTGGGGAGGGGCAGCGTCGGGAGTGGGTGAGGGTGGAGAGGCCGCCAGGGGGCTCAGGGGCTGGCGTCAGGAACCCGGAAGGTGCTCTGGCCGTGGGACCGCTGGAGGGAGGAACAGACCTTTGGGTATGACCCTGGGTCCCGGGATGTGGAGACGAGGCCGAAGCACCGGAGCTGTGGGCTGTGCCCTGAGGGGCCAGGCCCCTGCCCCCCTTTTGTTCTCAGGACGGACCCCCCCACTTCCACCCTTGCTGGGAGGTGGCCCGGCCTTATCTCCCGCTCGGTTATCAGAGTTCCTGGCACGTGGCCCCTGCCCCCGCGTGGGGAGGTGGCGTGCCTCCCTGTCCCGGTGTGCAGCCCTGGCCGGAAGCCGGCCTTCCTCTGCAGAGGAGGCGGAAGAGCAGGTGGCCTTGTGCCCGGCTTATCTGGGCTCCCGTTCCCCGGCCCCGGGGGCGGAGTGTGAGGGGAGGACACCTCCATCCCGGCCCTGCTCAGCCAGAGAGATAAGCAGATTCAGGGTGCAGAGGCCGGAGCTTCAGGGACAGGCCAGCGCCCCTAAGCCCAGGTCCTCTTCTTACTGTTACCCCCCCCCCCGAGGCCAGGGCCAACAGGACCCCCTGGAGCTGCAGGCCCCCAGCCCCAAGGCCAGGAGGGACCGAGGGCCTTTCTCCAGAGCTGGGCTCGGCACATCCTTCACTGTGGTCCTGCCCGGGTCACCTCTGGCCAGCCCTGTCCCCTGGGCTCAAGGGACACACTGAGCCAGACTGCTCCCGCCCGGACATCCAGCACTCAGAGGGTCTCAGTGTCCCCCTCCTCTCCTGGAGTTCACTCCTGCCCCTCTGCTCTCCTCACTGCCCACCCCTCTGCCCTCCTCACTGCCCACCCCCTCCCGGCCACAGCCAGTCTCCCTGCGCCTGCCCCCAGCCTTGAGGACCACCAGCCTGCCCTAGGCTTCATGCCCTCCAGCCCCTTACTGCCGCTCACCTCTCTCCTCTCGCTGCCACAGTCACACCTGTGCCCACCTGTTTCCACACCTGGGCAGAGGGACCCCATGCTCACCACTCACTACTGCCCGGTGCCCTCTCCACTCCATCGTCCCACGTGCTTAGCGTGGGGAGCACCCAGAGCCCACGTGCACCTCCCAGCCGCCTGCCAGCCTCTGCGTCTCGGGGATGGTCTTCCTCACCCAGTCCCGTGCCCAGCACCTGCCACCCCTCCCACGCAGGCACACACCTGGGTGCTCACAAGGACACATGGCACTTCTGACCATTGCCCCACTCCCTCGGGGTGCCTGGGAGAGGGCTGCCACCATTGGCTGACCGCCCAGCCCTGCCCACTGCCTCGCGGGGCAGGGCGAGAAGGCAGCCTGGGGCAGGGCGGGGGTGTGCTGGGAGGCGCCGTTGTCCCGCTGACTTTGGGTTGTTAGAGGCAATGATGGGAGAGCCCCCCATGTGACACCTGGGGAGCGGGACAAGCGTTGGAGGCAGAAGGTGCCTCTGATCCCAGTGCCAACCTGGTGCAGCCCCAGCAGCCCACCTCCCTGCCCAGCGGCTCTCGCTCCCTCACCCACGCATTTCTGAGCACGTGGGCGCCAGGCGCTGGTCTCCGAGGGACCCGGGAGCACCTGGGGGACAAGGTGCCACGTCCGGAATGCCTGCGCCGTGCGGGCACCTCCGCCACGGCCTGCAGTGCTCAGAAAGCCCCCGGGCACGGCTTGGTGGCGCCACTTTGGACCGCTAGGTGCCCGAGGACAGAGCTGTCCTAGGGCCGGAGGGAGGCGGGAAGGGCCTGAGCCAGAGATGGCAGCACAAGACCCTGAGACTGCCCTGGCCGGTGTTGCTCAGTGGATAGCACGTCGGCCGGCACACTGAAAGGTCCCAGATTTGATTCTGGTCAGGGGCATGTGCCCGGGTGTGGGCTCGATCCTCAGTGGAGTCTTGCAGGAAGTAGCCGATCCATTATTCTTTCTTATCATGGATGTTTCTCTCTCTCCCTTCCTCTCTCTCTCTCTCTCTCTTTCTTCCTTCCTCTCTGAAATCAATATATATATATATATATATATTTTTTATTTTTTATTTTTTTTTTAAGTGGGACTAACGGACCCTCCTTTCGCAGGACAAAGACAATTCCGGTGCCACAGTCCTGCACCTGGCCGCCCGCTTCGGCCACCCCGAGGTGGTGGACTGGCTGCTGCGTCACGGCGGTGGGGACCCCACCGCGGCCACGGACACCGGCGCCCTGCCCGTCCACTACGCCGCCGCCAAAGGAGACTTCCCCTCCCTGAGGCTCCTCATCGAGCACCACCCCGAGTAAGGACGCCCCTCCTGGTGGGGGGGTGCCGGGGGCTCAGGTGCTGGAAGTTTGCCATCCCCTCCGGCATCTGGGGGAGTGGCCACACCTGGAGCCAGGGGGCCAGGCCAGAGGCAGCTCCTGCCCAGCCGGGATGGCTCCCCTCCCGCAGGCTCACTGCCACGTGCCCCAGGCCCTGCAAGGCCCGGGCATCCAGCCCAAGGTCTCTGCTCCCCCCGTGCTCCCAGCCTGCAGGGTGCTCCCTCCAGCCCAGCCTCATTGGCTGCTGTGCTCATTGGCAAGGCTGTTGTAAAGGGGGGGGGGCGGTAAGAGGCGATGGAGGCGATGGAGGAGGAGCCTGGCACTTACCCAGAGGTGGAGGGAGAGGACTGCCCCCCAGACTCCTCCCTCAGCCCCACAGGTCCCCCCCCCCAACCAGGCCATCCACAGAGCAGCTGCTCATTCCCTGTGGCCCCTCAGCCCACTCCTGATACAGAGGCGCCGGGTCCCACACCCCAGAGGCTCTGCTGATTGGCTGGGCTGAGGAGCCCTGAGCAGCGGGCTGGGCTCCCGGGGCGGGGAGGGGCGGGGCAGGAGGAAGAGGCTCAGTGCACAGCAGGGGAGGCGGGGGCAGTTAGGGAGGAAGGGGCCAGGTCTTTGGCAGCTGGGGAGACAGGAGCCCTGGGGGAAAGCCATCCAGACATGGTCCGAGGGGGGCACCAGTGGCCCAGGGCCCTGGCAGGTGGGTGACCTCTGTCAGTCCAAGTGGGCGCCTAGGAGGTGAGCGGCCTCAGAGGACCCGCCTAAGGGCGATCACCAGGCGAGAGGGTCGCTCCGGCTCACTCCTGAGGCACCACCAGGGGGCGGGGGGCTGCAGCCCCTGGCCTTGGGCAGGTGGCCGCAGCAGCAGCCTCGGGCCCAGCACATTGGTGTGGGTGTGGGCAGCCCCCAGGCCCGGCCGTGCAGGAGGCTCCCTGGTCTGGTCAGTGGGGGACCAGGGCCACGTGGGCACGGGTCCGCACCACTGTCACATGAACTCTGCTCTGGACTTAGAGCAGGAGGCCCCAGCAGCTCCTGAGAACGGCTCCCGGCCCAGCACCGTCGGCACCCAGGGCTGGGGGGCTGGACCAGCCCTGCGACAGGACCCCCCCCCCCCGGGGCGACTCCGATGCTGCTTCCCCTCCCCCAGGGAAACGAGAGGACACAGGGTCCTGTGAGGGGAGGGAAGCCTCTGGCCAACCTCCTGCACCACCCGCCTCCCCCTCCCACATAACGGGCCCCGAACGCAGGCTGGGGGTGATGCCAACCTAGCCCAGCAGTGCACTGCAGGGCCCTGCCCGCCCTGGGAGTGCGAGGAGGACCTGAGGCGGAGGGAGGACCTGAGGAGGAGGGAGGACCTGAGGCGGAGGAGGACCTGAGGCGGAGGGAGGACCTGAGGCGGAGGAAGACCTGAGGAGGAGGGAGGACCTGAGGAGGGAGGACCTGAGGAGGAGGGAGGACCTGAGGCGGAGGGAGGACCTGAGGAGGAGGGAGAGGGAGGACCTGAGGAGGAGGGAGAGGGAGGCGGAGGAAGACCTGAGGCAGAGAAGGACCTGAGGAGGAGGAAGGACCTGAGGCGGAGGAAGACCTGAGGCAGAGGGAGGACCTGAGGCAGAGGGAGGACCTGAGGCAGAGGGAGGACCTGAGACGGAGGAGGACCTGAGGAGGAGGGAGGACCTGAGGAGGGAGGACCTGAGGAGGAGGGAGAGGGAGGATCTGAGGCGGAGGGAGGACCTAAGGAGGAGGAGGACCTGAGGCGGAGAGAGGACCTGAGGAGGGAGGACCTGAGGCAGAGGGAGGACCTGAGGCGGAGGGAAGACCTGAGGAGGAGGGAGGACCTGAGGAGGAGGGAGGACCTGAGGAGGAGGGAGGACCTGAGGCGGAGGAGGACCTGAGGAGGAGGGAGGACCTGAGGAGGGAGGACCTGAGGAGGAGGGAGGACCTGAGGCGGAGGAGGACCTGAGGCGGAGGTGGGGGGTGGGGGGTGGGGGGGAACCCCAGGCAGGCTGAGCCCCTCCTCACCAGGAGCCTGGGGAAGGCCCTGGCTGTGCCATGGGACAGACTGGGCCTGGGAGCCTTGGGGCCACTGCCCCCTCCCAGGCCCTGCAGGTGTGGCCGGGACTGGCTGGTGGGTGCCGGCTCTGTCCAGGTGGCCGGGACTGATGGCTGCCGGCGCCCAGGCCACCGTGACTGTCAGGGAGGTGACAGGGGGCTGATAAGAAGGTGCTTTTGTGTGGTCGCCAGACAGGGCTCAGGCGGGAGGGGTGGCTGGCGTTGGGTGGGCACTGCTGGAGAGGAGGTGCAGACCAGTGCCCACCAGCGGCCTGTGGGGATGGAGACTCCTGTTCCCCCAGCCTGGGGGATGGCAGGGAGCTGGGGGAGGAGGAGGCTGGGACTGCTCTGGCTGCAGGGCGCAATCAGGGGCCCAGGCAGCGGCTGGAAGCCCAGTGCCCGCCTGCCCACCACCGTGAGCCTGGCTGCTGTGGAGCCTGTGAATTATTCAGAGGGCTCAGCTCTCCCTGCGGGGGAGGGCGCCGATCCAGCCCTCCCGGGGAGAAACCCGATCTGCCGGGAGCTCGTGGCCCGGGGCCATGGCGGTGACAAGCTCTGGAGGAGCAGGAGGGCTGAGGGTCCGAGGAGGGCCAGCCAGTGCCGGGCTGCATTGGGGGGCAGCAAAAAGGGCTTGAGACCCCAGGAACACCTGCACCCCCGCCCCCACCCCTCCTCCAGTCTGTCCTGGTCCACTGGCCAAATTCTTCCAGAGGCCAAGGACTGGCCCCAGTGGCCTTGGGGTCTGCTGTCCTGGGGACCTTCCCCCTGAACCCTCTGCAGAAAGGGGTGCTGGAGGCACCGAGGCTGACAGGAGCTGGCTGGGTCGTCCCTCCTGGCCAGGAGCATGAGTAGCTGGTGGTGGGAGCCAGAGGGGACAGACTGGGAAGTGGGAGGAGCAGGGCCCTCAGGGCGCCTGACCACCTGCTGGGAGGGTCCTGGGGCCCCAGAGCCACCAGGCTCAGCCAGGCCTCCTCCCCGCACCTGAGCTTGAAGGCTGGGACCTGGGGGGTGGGCTCTGGGCCCGGGTCAGAGATTGGAAGTGCCCCGGCCAGGAGCCAGGAGAGGCTAGAGGCCAGAAGCCGGCACCAAGCACCAGTGTGAGCCTTACAGCCACCCAGGCAGGGCCCTGTCATCAGCCCATTTCACAGGGGCTCATCCCCCTGTGCCAGGCCAGGGTCTCAGGGCCAGGGACTTCCAAGTGCCTACGGAGGGACAGGTACAGAGAGGGCGCCTCGTGGCCAGCGGCCAGCTGCCTGCTGAGGTCCCCTGGCCACCCTCTCTGTTCTGTCTCCGGGGACTCCGGGCTGCTTCCACAGCCCCGCTGGAGGGGTTCAGGCAGCCCCCATCGTGAGCAGGGAGCCGGGCTGCTCACCCCTCAAGAACCCCAGGGACTCCCCCTTCGAAGGTAGAGGCTGCGCCGGGCCTGGGTGTGCCCACCCGTGGGCCTCTGTGCCTCAGGCGGTGAGGGCTCCTTATTCTGTCACCACGCCCAGGTCTGCCCTGTGCCCGCTGAGGTCCTGGGCTGGCACATCCACGATGGGGACCCTGACCCAGCTGGAGGCTCTGAGAGAGGAGGTCCTGGTGGAATAGGGGGACCCCTCTCTGTGGGGACAGCCTCCACCTCCACCAGCAACGCCCGGTCCCAGCCCCAGCCGTGAGACCTGGAGCCCGGCGGCTCGCCCCGCCCTGGCCCCGCCCTGGCCCTGCCCTCCTCCTGCCCAGCTCAGCACACCTTTGGGGGCCACCAGTCTCCCCATCACTGACAGGGAAGCCACTTCCTTACATGGCCCAGCGACCCTCCCTTTGGCCCACCCTCCCCGCCAGCTGCTCCCCCATCGCCTGCTCTGCTCTCACAGGCCAGCGCCTGCGGCTTCGCCCTGGCTGTTCCCTCGCTCAGAGCTCTTCCCCGCAGCGCCCGCCTCCTCTGCTCCTCTCTCTCTCTCTCTCTGTGCGGCCTGCCTAAGCGCCTTCAAACTGACACACTCCCTCCCCATCTTCCCGCCTCTTCCCCGGCCCCCTCCCTGGCCTGGCATTGCATTGGCGCCCCTCTCTCCCCACCCTGTGTGCCAGCGCTTGACACTGGTGTGTGTTTGTTACTTGGGTAAGGCCTCTGGAACCCAGCTTTCGGCCGGCTCTCAGCGTGTGCGGGTCAAGCCGCCCGGCCCAGGCCCAGGCCCAGGCCAACAGTGAGCGGAGGGCAGGGTGCGGGCTCCAGGTGCAGCGGGAGAGGGAGGTGTCTCAGGGCCAGTGCCCAGGCTGCTGCCTTGGAGCCGGGAAGTAGATGGCCTCACCGGGGAGTGCCCTTGGAAAGGAGGCCCTGGGGCACCCCCACATTTGGAGGTGAGGCAGGCAGAGGCTGAGGACCCGGCGCAGGCAGGTGTTGGGGGAGGGGCGCCGTTAGGCAGTGGCCACGTGACGTGAGGAGGGGAACACCCCCAGGGTTGGTAGCATGGCACAGCAGGCGGGTGAGGGGATAGCAGGCCACCCCCATAGGAAACACAGCGTCGCAAAGCTGCTTCTGTTCTCCCGCAAGAGGCATGGAGAGGCCAGACAGGTATCACGCCCACTTGCCATATGTGGAAACTGAGGCTCGGAGGGCAAAGAACTCTGTGCAGTGAGCTGCAGAGTCAGGAGTGAGCAGAGGCCAGGGCAAAGGGCAGGGGCTGGTTAGGGGGACCGCCTCTCCCCCTGCAGGTTGTCCCTGAGGCTAGAACTTGATGGGCTGGATCCGGGAGTCCCCTGAGACCCCGCCCCACCCCTGTAGGCAGTGACTCCTGCTTGGTGAGGCCTGGACACCCCCAGCCGGCAGCGCACCCCCCAGGGACACAGGGAGGCGGGGCCTAAAAGGCAACATGGCGCCAGGCGGTGCTGAGGCTCCCGGTCGGACAATGGCTTTGAGAAGCCCACACCCAAGAGGCCAGACCTTGGCGCAGGCGGGAGGGCTCAGCCAGGCCCCTCCCACACCCGGGTCCTTCTCTGCCTCACTTTCCCCATCTGCATATGGGGGACAATGCTGACACCGGCCTCCTGAGGGCACTTCATAAGGACAGAATGAGAGCGTGTGCCTCATGCTGGCCACGGCCCTTGGAACAGAGAAATCACTCAGTAAATGGCACCTGCCACCACTGCTATCGATGACGGCCATTGCTCCTCCCACTGGAAGGCATCTCTCCGTCTCAACTCACGTTTATCGCCTTGCGCTCATGCAGATTTCTGTAGCACGAGGGGACCCATCCTTCCGGCCTGCAGGCTGAGGCAGAAGAGGGTAACCAGGCCAGGACCCCCTCGGCCATCCTGGCCCAGCAGCGAACCTGCCTGTGTGCTGGGGTCCCCCGGGCGGCAGCTGTCCCCCCACTCGGGGGGACCCTGAGCGCAGAGGCTGAGGTGCTAACAGCAACGGTGACACGTCGAGCGTTCACTGAGCGCTCACTGCGCACCCAGGACTCGGGCGAGAGCGCCGGCCGGTGGCCGAGGGCACGTCCGCCCCCTCCCGCCGGGGTCCTGCTCCGTGCCAGCCTCTCAGGCCTCCTCGGGCCGGCTGGGCGCCCCCAGGGCGGGGGCTGCTGGGAGGGCAGGGCTCCTGGCAGGTCTGGCGCCCCGAGCCGTGTCTGTGCCTGGGGCATCCCCAGAGAGTCCTGTGGGCCCTGGGGGGAGGCCCCCCGCCAGCCTGCCGTGCCCAGGACCCCAGCACTCGCTGTGCCTTGGTGACGGGGTGAATAATTCAGGCCCCTGAGTGTCGGTCATGAAATATTAAACGGCTGTCGCTGACGCACCAGCATGTGAAGGCGTGTGTGGGGGCGACGCTGGCACTGGGGCGTGGAGGCCAGGGCCCCGGGCCAGGGTGTCGCCGAGGCGAGGCATGTGTCTCTGTCGCCGTGTGTGCTGTGGCTGTGGGGTGACGGAGGGCAGCCGGGCCTGGTCCCTGCGCCTCCCCAATGTGCGAAGTGCTGGCTCAGCATCAGCCCCAGCCAATGGCAGCTCTGTGTCAGGGCGGTCAGCCCACACCAGGAGGAAGGAGCGCCTGGGGTCAGGGGTCAGGGGTCAGGGAAGTAGACAGAGGTAGGGTGTTCGGGATAGGGAGAAAGACATCAGCTGGGTGGGCATTGGTGGGGGGAGTAAGAGGGAGGGGCCAGGTCATGTTGGCAGTGACAAGGGGAGGGGGAGTGGGCAGATGGAAGAGGAGCGGATGGCCTGGTGCCTGTGTTGATGGGCAGAGGGGCTGGGGGTTGGACGAGGCAGAGAGAGCGTGGATGGAGGAGGGAGCATGGGTTTGGTGATGTGAGTGGGCAGAGGGAGGGGGGAAGAACTGCCCTTCCTGGGACTCAGCATACTCGGGCACAGCTCCTCCCCTGAGCTGAGAGCCACTGGGCTGTTGGTGGGCAGCTCCTGGGTCTGCTCTTAGATTGTGCTTCCACCTAGTGGCCAACTCCGGTAACTGCATGCTGGGCTGTCCATGACCCCTGAGAAGTCAGAAAAACAGGATCCGCGGGGGCCCTGCCGGCTCCCCTGTTCCCAGCGGCGCCCCAGTTTGTGGGGAAACTTCCCTGCCCCCCAGTAAGGACCCTCTGCGGGAGCCGAGGGGCAGTGGCAGGTGCAGGCCAGACCCCAGGGAATGCCCTCTCTCCACTCCCTGTGAGCCTGCTGTGCACATCGCACAGGCAGATGTGCCCTCACTCACACCTCACGTACAGCTGTGTGACCTCAGGCCTGTCACAGCCTCTGAGCCTCAGTGCCCCTCTGCCGATGGGGCCGCACCGGCCCTCAGGGCGTCCGGGAGAGCCTGCCTGCTGACTTCATGGCACAGTGCCCGCCGGGAAGTGCCCAGTGGACGGGGCCAGCCAGAGGGCTGCCAGGTTAACCACCAGGCTATCCAAACGAATGTTCGTTTCAGATGAACAACAAACCAAGTTTTAATATAAGTATAGCTCATGCAGTATTTTGGATACACTTATAATTTTTATTTTTAAATATTTTTATTGATTTCAGAGAGGAAGGGAGAGGGAGATAGAAACATCAATGATGAGAGAGAATCACTGATCAGCTGCCTCCTGCATGCTCCCTACCGGGGATTGAGCCCACAACCCAGGCCTGTGCCCTTGACCAGAATTGAACCCTGGGACTCTTCACAGGCCACTGCTCTATCCACTGAGCAAAACCAGCCAGGGAGATATATATATATATATATATGTGTGTGTGTGTGTGTATATGTGTGTGTGTGTGTGTGTGTGTGTGTTTGTGTGTGTATATATATGATTTGTTGTTTATCTGACGTTCAGACCTAACTGGGCATTCTGTGTTTACCTGGCAACCCCACCTTTCTGTTCTCTGGAAACTCAGCCTTCGGGGGGAGGCATGGGCCAGAATCAGTTTTGTTCAACTGAGCAAGACAGGTGTCCACGGAGCGGGCAGGGCAGTGTGGGCACAGGGCGAGAACGGTCTGCCTTGCCTGGGAGAACCACCGCAGGCCTCATGGAGGAGGGAGCTGTCCTGAGTCTTAAAGGGCGAGGAGGAGGAAAGAAGAGAGCTGGCAGTAGGCATGGGACTTCAGGGACAGTGGGTCAGTGTGGCTGGAAGGGAGGGAGAGGCCCGGCCAGGCCTTGGTGAGGGGTGAGCTATTAGCCGAGGGCAGGGCCGAGCTCAGACCCAGGTGTGTTGTAGGAAGGAAGGGCTGGGGGAGGAGGGGCAAGCCAGAGGGGCCCTGAGGGCGGCTGGCACAGGTCTGAGCCCAGAGGGAGCCAGTGACTAGGCCCCCGTCGACCCACCCTGCCAGCCCCCAGGGTCCCCAGAAGGGACGAGGTCTTGGGAAGGCTTCGCGGGGCCGGGGGCGGGTGCTGAGAGCCTCCGTGGCTCTTCCTGCTCGCAGGGGAGTGAATGCCCAAACCCAGAACGGTGCCACGCCCCTGTACCTGGCGTGCCAGGAGGGCCACTTGGAGGTGACGCAGTACCTGGTGCAGGAGTGCGGCGCCGACCCGCACACGAGCGCCCACGACGGCATGACCCCGCTGCACGCGGCGGCGCAGATGGGCCACAGCCCGGTCATCGTGTGGCTGGTGAGCTCCCCCGGGGCGGGGCCTGCGGGGCGGGCGGGGCCTGCGATGGGCGGGCGGGGCCTTGAGGGGCGGGGCCAGCAGGACCTAGCCCCACCCCGCCCACCCCTCTGTCCCCGCCCCTCCCGCCAGGTGAGCTGCACCGACGTGAGCCTGTCGGAGCAGGACCAGGACGGCGCCACGGCCATGCACTTCGCGGCCAGCCGCGGCCACGCCAAGGTGCTCAGCTGGCTCCTGCTGCACGGCGGCGACATCTCCGCCGACCTGTGGGGCGGGACCCCGCTGCACGACGCCGCGGAGAACGGGGAGCTGGAGGTGAGGGGGGGCCGGGGCGAGAGGGGGCGCCCTCTGCCGGCGCCGCGCGCTCAGCGCAGCCCGGCCGGCGCGGGGCGCGGGCGCGGGGCTCCGGCGCGGCGCGGCTAGCGGGTGCCCCTGCGTGCCCCTGCAGTGCTGCCAGATCCTGGTAGTGAACGGCGCGGAGCTGGACGTCCGCGACCGCGACGGCTACACGCCCGCTGACCTCTCCGACTACAACGGCCACAGCCACTGCACCCGCTACCTGCGCACCGTGGAGAACCTGGTACGCCTGGCCCTGCCCGGGTATCTCACTCCAGCCTCCCCTCCCCAGCACCCGCTACAGGTAGGTTTTGGGAGCCCCGTTAGCACCCAGGAAGCTGGAGTGCAAAGACATGAAGGCCCTTGCCTGAGGTCACACAGGGAGTAAGGGCCCCCAGGCCATTTCCCCAGGTGACTTCTCACCGGGACCATGGGCACTGGGGAATGGGGTGTGGAGGCAAAACCGTCAAGAGAAGGAGGGCGAAGGCTGGGAGAAGTCACCGGACACGTTCGAACAGGACAGCTCAGTTCAGTCAGCTGGCCACAGCCCGCACGGGTATCTCATTTCACCCTCGCCACCGCCGCTGAGGCAGGGAGGGAGAGTGTGCCCATTTCCCGGTAAACTGAGGCTCAGGGAGGCCCAAGCTCACAGTGTTAAGCGGTGGAGCCCAGTGGCCCGGCCGAGAGTCACCTCCAGACCCCTCCACTGCTGCTCGCTCACAGTGAGCTGCTTCAGAGCAGGAAGCCTGTACTGGTCCTTTTAAATTACTTTAGCCTGGCCATCGAGTAACCCATGGGGACCTGGGCGCCCTGTGGTGACTTCTGTTATCCGTGGGGTCAGGCCTGGCGCTCCCCGTGCCCACGGCTGTCAGCCAAGGAAGGGGCACCTTCAGCCGCCCCGTTCAGCTCCTGCGGTTCCCCTTGGCTCCTGGGGCAGGCAGCAGGGATGCCCCCTGAAGTGTGCGGGGTGTGGGGCCCGGCCCCTCGCTCAGGTGGGCCCCGGGATGGCGGCGGCAGATCCAGCCGCAGAGGACGCTGGTCCAGAAAGGCCAACAGGCCCCGGAGCCCCTCCTGACAGGCCAGTTACTGGTGCAGAGCCGTTACCGGTGCCGCCCGCCCCCACTCCCACGGGGCCTGTGACACTTCTCGGGCAGGCGGGAGGCGCGGGCCTGGGCAGAAGCAGCAAGCGAGCAGCTTGCTGGCAGCAGAGCAGCATGGGCAACGTAAGCAGGGCCCCACCCCAGCCCAGCCCGTGCCAGGAGGGGCAGGTGGGGGCGGAGCAGGACAATGGTGGGGGGCAGCTTGCTTGGAAGCCTCAGCTTCAGATGCCCACCTAGCTCAGCTGGGCCACCCCATGCCCCTCCCTTTCCCTGAGGGCCTGTCTGGAGACAGGGACGGGTGCTGGGATTTGCCCAGTCGGGCCAGGAGACAGGGCTTGCTGACCAGGTAATGGGGGGTCAGTCCTCCCTGCAAGCTGAGGGGCCTTGCACCTCTCCCCTGCCCCCAGCTGCTGCCAGCACCCTCAGCAGCTACAGAGCCCGGGCCCCCCCCGAAGAGGCCCCAGAGCCCAGGCCCTCTGCCCATTGAGGAGGAGGAAGCGACTGCCCTGTGGCTCTCCCCGTGGGTGCTCTCAGGGCCCCCCTCCCTCAGCCTCTCCACCCTCCTGAGCAGGGAGGGGCCGGAGGAGGAGTCTCCCAGGAACCCGGGTCCTGCTGCTGGGGGCTGAGGCTTGAATCTTGGCCCAGAAAGGGCAGTGGCTTAGCCAAGGTCACACACAGGGCTCTGAGCAGACCCGCCCCGAGCTCCTGGCCTCGGGGCTGGCGGTCCTCACCCTCCGCTCCTCTGCGCAGAGCCTGGAGCACCGTGTGCTGTCCCGGGACCCCTCCGCCGAGCTGGAGGCCAAGCAGCCCGACTCAGGCATGTCCTCACCCAACACCACCGCGTCGGTCCAGCCGCTGAACTTCGACCTCAGCTCGCCCACCAGCACCCTGTCCAACTACGACTCCTGCTCCTCCAGCCAGTCCAGTGTCAAGACCCGGCGCCCCCCGCGCGGTGAGTGGACCCATGGGAGGAGGGAGGAGGGAAAAGGGAGGAGGGAGGAGGGAGGAGGGAGGAGGGAGGAGCGGCCCTGGCCCAGCTCTGCCCACAGCTACCTCCAGAGGCTGCCCAGGTCACCGGGAGAGGATGCTGGTTCTGGTGAACGACAGACACTCATGTGTGTGTGTGTGTGTCCCCATCACAACATACATGTACGTCCACACACTTGCACATGCACCTTGTACACCATATGATATCCTCATTCACACGTGCACAAACTGTCCCCAGAACTTACACACTCAAGAGTGCACACTTGTGTCCTAGCTGGTGTGGTTCAGTGGATAGAGCGTCGGCCTGCGGACTGAAGGGTCCCCGGTTCGGTTCCTGTCAAGGGCACAACATGCCCAGGTTGCGGACTTGATCCCCAGTCGGGGGCATGCAGGAAGCAGCTGATCAAAAACTCTCTCATCATTGATGTTTCCTTCTCTCTCTGAAACCAATAAAACATTTTTAAAAGAGTGCACTCTTGTACGTGTGTGCACATAATATACAGATATGAGTGCACAGCCACATATTAGCTGCGCAGACATACACACACGCCTACACTGCACACAGGCACACAGCTCTCCATTCTAGACCCTAGATGTGCTCACCCCGCCATGTCCACAGCCTAACACAGCACATTCATAAACACAGAGCCTGTGACTCACGCACCGTCACACGACACGCACAAACGCTCACGCAGAAGCCAGACACGCCCGCACGCACACTGACCACACCCTGAGCACGGGGACCTCCACTCAGGTGGTGGCTGCAGAGATGGCGGGCACCCTGAAAAGGCTGGGTGTGGCATCCATATCCCTGCCACCTGCCCTGCCAAGTCTGCCTGGAAAGCAGCCCTCCCCCTCAGGTGGCTCAGTGCATGGGCACACCTGCAGCCCAAAGCCAGGGTGCCCACCCCACACTGGGTGAGGTCCCTGAGGCGTGGCCTTCCCTGGCAGGTGCAGAGCTGGGGGAGGGCAGGGCCAGGACCAGGGGGGCCATGCTGGGCTGCACCCCTGAGGTCCACTGCCCACTTGGCAGTAGAGGGTCTCAGACAACTCTAAACCCAGCCTCCCTCCCCCCACCCTCCCATCCCCCCCCCCCCACCAGGGCTTCCCCGAGGCAGAGCTGCAGAGATCCAGAGCTACATGGACATGCTGAGTCCGGAGCTGAACCTGGCCCAGGGCAAGATGGAGAAGAACAGAGCACCACCGCCACCCAGCTTCCCGCCGCCGCCCCCTCCCCCGGGCACCCAGCTGCCCCCGCCCCCACCCGGCTACCCCGCCCCCCAGCCCCCGGCCGGGCTGCAGGCCGCGGACATCTACATGCAGACCAAGAGCAAGCTCCGCCACGTGGAGACCACGGGCTTCCGGAAGGAGGTAGTAAGCCTCCACCCTCTGCCCTCCGCCCTCCGCCCTCCGCCCACCACCCTCCGCCCACCGCCTGCCTCTGGGTGCCTGGGCTGGTGGGGGTTGTGGAGGTCAAGGACTGCCCGGCTTCTGGGCACCCACAGGGGTCCCTGGGCCAGTGGCCTGTTCAAGAGTCCATACTCCTGGCAGCCCCCTGGGGGCTCAGGGCTGGGCCCTGGGGACAGGAGGATGGGTAAGATCAAGCCGCTGCCCTCTGCAGAGCTGGGGGCAGAGAAGGGACTAGAACATACACCCAGACAGTGGGGCCTCCGGGTCTGGGTCCCCGCCACCTCTCGCACAGATGGCAGGGTGGTCATGGAGTGGCACTCAGCCGGGGCTGACCCCCCGTTTGGGCTTGAGGCCGGGCAGTGAGATGAGGTGAGTGAGGTGGCAGGGCCAGGCCCGAGATGAGTCCTCGGGAGAAGGGGAAGAGTCCCATATGAGCATGTTGAGTGCCAGGTGCTGGGGATGGCAGGGCCGCTGGGGATGGGGTCCTGGCTGAGGCTCTGGAGTGGGGCTGGAGGTCAGAGGACTGGGCTGGGGGTCAGGGGGCTGGGCTGGGGGTCAGAGAGTGGGGTTGGGGGTCAGAGGGCTGGGCTGGGGGTCAGAGGGCAGGGCTGGGGGTCAGAGGGCTGGGCTGGGGGTCAGAGGGCTGGGCTGGGGGTCAGAGGGCGGGGCTGGGGGTCAGGGGGCGGGGCTGGGGGTCAGAGGGCTGGGCTGGGGGTCAGAGGGCAGGGCTGGGCGGTCAGAGAGTGGGGCTGGACTGGGGGTCAGAGAGTGGGGCTGGGGGTCAGGGGGCTGGGCTGGGGGTCAGAGGGCGGGGCTGGGCGGTCAGAGAGTGGGGCTGGACTGGGGGTCAGAGGCTGGGCTGGGGGTCAGAGAGTGGGGCTGGGGGTCAGGGGGCTGGGCTGGGGGTCAGGGGGCTGGGCTGGGGTCAGAGGCTGGGCTGGGGGTCAGAGAGTGGGGTTGGGGGTCAGAGGGCTGGGCTGGGGGTCAGAGAGTGGGGCTGGGGGTCAGAGGGCGGGGCAGGGGGTCAGAGAGTGGGGCTGGACTGGGGGTCAGAGGCTGGGCTGGGGGTCAGAGAGTGGGGCTGGGGGTCAGGGGGCTGGGCTGGGGGTCAGAGGGGCCCTGCCTACAGCCCAGGGGAAGGAGCACAGCCCCCTGGGAGGAGGGCAGGGGCGGCCTGAGCCTCAGTTGGTGGCGTGTGGGGCAGAGGGTCCTGACCTTGCAGGCAGTTCTCTCTCAAGCCCCAGGTGGGCCACCCCAGGAGGAAGCTAAGTGACCAGTTTGCACAGGTGACGGGTCCCAGGCCACTGGTGGTGGTGGGGGGGGGGGAGCACGCCTGCACAGGGCTGCACCCCTCTCGTGCCACCTCAGACCGAGCTCCCAGTCGGTTCCCCTTTCATCCCAGGAGGTTTGGGCCCAGGACTTTCCCGACTGGGCCTGTGGGCCCTGCCCAAAGCCACAGGACAGGTGGCTGGCCTCTGCCCCTCCCCTCCCTGGGCCAGAGCGCCCGGACCTTCGGCCGCTCCCCCTCCCAGCGTGTGCGTGCCAGGCCACAGGCTCCGGGCAGCTCCACAAAGGGCCCTTTGTGCCCGGCCCCCAGCCCCAGCCCCGGCCCCCAGCCCCGGCCCCAGCCTGACCGCCTGGAGCAGGGTCGTGCTCTGCGCCTAGGGCCGCAGGGGGCGCGAGGGGCGGGCCGAAGGAACCAAATCCTGCGGTGTCCCGTTTCCTGCAACGTGAGCCGGTTAGATGGGGCGGAGGGTCCGGGCCACCGCAGGGGCAGGGGCAGGGGCAGGGGCAGGGGCTGGGGGGAGGGGGACAGCCCGCCTGTGCACTCGGCCTTCGGCCCCGCGGCCTCCTCCTTGCAGAGCGGGCTCGGCGGGGGCGGCTGACGGGGCGGGCGCTCGCTGCCACCTGAGCCGCCGCGCGGCCCCTGAAACCCGAGGCCGGTGCGCGGGTGTCGGTGTCGCTTACGCGGATGGCGATGGTTTCCAGATGCGGCCTGGAAGGGCGGGGGCGTGACCCCGAGCCCCGGGGGCCACGTGGGGGAGGGGTCCCCTGTCCGCGGGGCGGCCTGGGCGTTCTGTTCCGGAGGATGGAAGGGAGGATGAAGGATGGAGGGGAGGATGGAAGATGGAGGGGAGGATGGAAGATGGAGGGGAGGATGGAGGGCAGGGTGGAGGAAGGAGGGGAGGATGGAGGATGGAGGGAAGGATGGAGGATGGAGGATGGAGGGGAGGATGGAGGAAAGAGGGGAGGATGGAGGATGGGGGGAGGGATGGGGGAGCGGAGGGATGGAGCGGAGGGATGGGGCAGCACCTCACGGAGGACAGAAGCGCAGGGCAGGGTCACATCTGGCGGGGGCGGGGGGGGAGGCGGGGCGGGCGGGCGGGGCGGCCAGGGGTGCGGAGCCGGGGGCGCCCCCTGGCACCCCCACCGCCCGGGATGGGCGGGCTGGGTGATGTCAGGACGGCGGAGGCAGAGCTCGGGGCGCGGGCCGGGCGGTAACCCGAGAGGAGGGATCAGGTGGCGCAGGTGTCGGGTCCCTCCGCCCGCCGCCAGGTGCACAGCGGGGGCCGCCGGCACCGGCACCGGCACAGGTAGGAGCGCCCCGGCCTCGGGCTGGGCAGCCGGGCCCTGGGCAGCAGCGGCCTCCGAGGACTCGGGTTCCGGAGCGGGCTCCCTGGAGCGGGCTCCCTGGGGCGGGTTCGGCGGAGACTTGGGGCTGGGACTGCGGTGCGGCTGAGGCTTTAGCGCCGGCCCGGCGGGAGCTGCCCTCCTCCGGCTCCCCCTGGCGTCTGGGCCGGGCCACCCCGCCCCCGGGCCCGCCCCCTCCAGCCTCAGTGGGGCCGCTGCGCCGCTGGCCGGTGCCCAGAGCACCACCTCCCTGCCGGCCAACCGAGCTGCCCTGCACCGGGGCCGTGACCCTCCCCATCCCGCTCCGAGGCCAGGAGGGTCCGGGAACGCGGCCGGCTGCACCTTTGGGAGGTGGTGGGGAGGAGAGGGGAGAAGGGGGGCACAGGGACCGTCCCCGCTCCGAGGACAGGAGGGTCCGGGAAGGAGGCCGCGCCCCCGGGAGGAGAGGGGGCGCAGGGACCGGCCCGCAGCCCACGCCCGTCTCTCCGCAGCTGGGCTCCCGCGCCGGCCCCGGCCCCAGCCCCAGCCACAGCCACAACGGGCTGCGGAGGCAGGACTCGGGCCGCAAGCCGCGCGCCGTCAGCAAGCAGCCCAGCACGGGGGACTACTACCGCCAGCTGGGCCGCTGCCCCCGCGAGCCGCGCCCGGCCATGGCGCACAGCGAGGAGGTGCGTGCCCGCCCGGCCCCGGCCCCGGCCCCGGCCCCCGCCCCGGCCCCCGCCCCGGCCCCCGCCCCGGCCCCGGCCGGCCCGCGCCTCACCTGGCCCCCCCGACCCCCCGCAGGCGGCGCTGCTCCCTGGGAGCCACGTGCACAACGGCTGCGCGGCCGAGCCCACGCCGTCCAGGGAGCTGCCGCCGCCGCCGCCGCCGCCCCCGCCGCCGCCCCTGCCCGAGGGCCCGAGCTCGCCGCCGCCCGCTCCGCCCCTGCCCTTCGAGGGCGCCGGCCCCGGCTGCGGGCAGCGCCGCTCCTCCTCCTCCACCGGCAGTGAGTAGGGGCAGGCGGGGAGGTGGGCGGCCCGCGAGCCGGAAGGGGGGGGGGACCTAGACAACGCCCCCTCCCTGCTGGGACCGCGCCAGCGCCCCTTCTTTCCCTGCTGTTCCTCCCGCAGCCCCTCCCTCCCCCAGGGGCAGGCCTGGCTGTGTGACCCCGGGAGTCTCCGTCCCTCTCTGGGCTGGGCCTGCCTCCCGTCCAGTGGTCTGAGCCGGAGCTAGAAGGATCTTTAAGAAGCAGAACCAACTTCAAGGAGGCAGGCCCTCTTCCCGAGTCTGTCCCGAATCTCTCCTAGCCCCGTTCACTGGGTCCCCCAAGCTAGCTACAGCCTGAGCCCTTCCCAGGGCCTCACAGACTCTTCCCAGCCCCATCTCCCCGGGGCCCCAGCCAGCGAGGCCTGGCTATGGGGACAAGGCCGTGACCCAGCATGCCTGTCCCTGCTGGGGCCTGCTGGCCTCCTTTTGTAAGAGCTAGGCCGCTGGGCGGCCAGTATTCCCGAGTTTCTCTCCTGTCTGTGGGCAGTCTCCTGCCCATGGGGCTGCTGGAGGCCCGGAGGGGGTCCCAGCCCAGGCTGGCAGGTGCCTTCCTCGCCCAGCCACTGGGGCAGGGGCCATTAGGGCTCCGTCCAAAGCTTCCTCTCCCTGACTAGCATGCAGGGGCACAGGACGGTCCCCCGGTGTTGCCTGGGGTTCCTAGGGAGCCCCTGCAGCCCCAGCTCAAGGTCAGCTCCCCATCTGCAGCCTGGAGTGGGCCTGCGGCTAGGAAGAGAGGACAGACCCTGCTCCCGCCAGCGCCAGGACGGAGGCCCTGGCGGAGGCCCTGGGTAGGGGACCAGGGCCGTGGCAGCCCTGTCCAGTCCTCGGGGCAGCAGCAAAGCTGGCAACTGAGCAGATCACCCTTTGGACCCCAGGGCAGCCCGAGCCAGGGTCCGATGGGCTTGCAAGTTCTGCTCCCCTCCCCCCTCCTCAGCACATCTCCCCTCCCCGCTCCTGCCCGCCCACCCCTCTCTGCTGTCCCAGCTCTCCCAGCCTCCCCCAGCCCTCCCTCTAACTCCGCTGTCACTTCTCTCCTCTCGGTCTCTAGAAGTGAGAGTCCTGAGGCACAGGAAGAGTGAGTAGCTGCGTTCACGCTCCAGCTGAGGCGCGGGTTGGGGGACAAAGCAAACGCTCGGGGGGGAAAAGCGAGGCCCAAGGGACCAGGGGCCTGAGGCAGGGGCAGAGCCAGGGGCCGGCGGCGAGGGTCCTCAAAGCCCCAGTGGGGGGCCTCTGACCCCCACCCCCACTCACCACTCCACACCTACCAATTCTTGGCCTGGCTGCTGCGGCTGGCCCCACCCCTTTCCCTTCTTCCTCCCTCCCACATTGTGCTCTGGAACCCGCAGCCGAGGGAAGCCAGGAACTGCTGGCCTGTGCCCCTCATCCAGCCCACACCCCATCCTTGGGCTCTGAAGTCAGCCCTCCCCAATCCCCAGTCACCTCTGCCTGCCGCCGTGATACATGCAAACTCCCGCCGGGCATTTGCATGCCCCCTGCCGGGCCCCTTCTGGGCAGGCGGGTGGGCACCTCCATGTCCTCAGGAAGGACCCGCTGCCCCGGGCCCCAGAGCTGAGAGAGCCGGGAAGCTTTGCCATACATGTGCTCGTGTGCTCTGGGCTTGCGACCAGTGTGTCCGCGCGTCTGTCTGTGGGTTTGGGGGCGGGGCTGACTGGGAGCCGGTATCAGGGTTCCTAGTCCGAATGGCCAGAGAGGCTCCGGCGACCCAGTCCAAGGGTCACTGGTCTTTGCTGATGCGCGAGGGCCAGAGGTAGACTCCGCCCTGGCCGCTGGAGCCAGGGAACGGGGGACAAAGGTCGGGGGGCTGGTCCCAGCGTTTGGGAGCTAAGCAGTCAATGCCCGGGGTGGAGACGCTCACTAGAGTCCCAGAGCCAGCCCACCAGCCACCATGGACTCCCAGGGGCCTCCAGGCGGGGGCCCCACGCCCCAGCGTGAGTAGGGCTGGGAGCATGGTGGGGGTGCACGACTTCCAAGCGAAGGGCCTGGCTCCGGGGTCCCCAAGAGCCGAGCCCCCCGCCAGGCTTGGGATCTGGGATGCTGCCCTCTGGCCCCAAGCGAGGCTCTGATGGCCTCCTGATGGGGAGGGGACAGCAGAAGGGCAGGTCCCCACGGGCCCCCCCACACCTGGCCCCTCACCAACACCTCCTCCCTGCCTCCCCCAGGCACCAAGTCTTTCAACATGATGACGCCGACCGGTGACAACGCCGAGCTGCTGGCTGAGATCAAGGCTGGCAAGAGCCTGAAGCCCACGCCGCAGAGCAAGGGGCTGACCACCGTGTTCTCTGGCAGCGGGCAGCTGGCCTCCCAGGTCCGTAGGAGGTCCGAGAGGGCCCGGTGCTGCCTCCCGCACCCGGCTCCCCCAGCCCCTGCCCGGGCTCAGCCCCGCCACGTCTCCCCACAGCCGGACGCGCAGCTGCCGCCTGTGTCACCGGCACCGTCGCGGCCCCGGAGCCCCACCCTGCCAGCTGCAGGGCCCCAGCCGCTGCTCAACGGCAGCCTGGCGCCGGCGCCGCCCGCCACCCCCGCGCCCGGCGTGCAGCTCGACGTGGAGGCCCTCATCCCCACGCACGACGAGCAGGGCCGGCCCATCCCCGAGTGGAAGCGCCAGGTGATGGTCCGCAAGATGCAGCTGAAGATGCAGGAGGAGGAGGAGCAGAGGCGGAAGGTGGGCTGGGTGGGCGTCCCTGGGGGCCTGGGGCTGCACCTGGGCCACAGCCCCTCCTCCCGGCACCTGCCTGCAGGCCCTGCAGCCTCAGGCAGCTCAGGGGGAAGGCAGCCTGGGACCTTGCAAACATGCTTTTCCTGGTCAGGAGCTCTGGTGGGGGGGGCATTCTGCAGCGGCCTCGGGGTGAGGCTGGCCGTGCTGTGCAGGGACCACACTCTGAGTACAAGAGGCTTTTGGTCATAGACTGGCCTGGGCTCCTTCCCTGCATTTCCACCTTTCAGCCTCATCCAGCCTCAGTTTCCTCGTCTGTCAGATGGGTTGATCCTCGCTGGCTGGCAGGATGGGTGGCTGTCGGCCCATTGAACGTGTCCCCTGGGCGTCGTCTGTGTGCTGCACACATTGTAGTCTCTCGGGCCTTGTGGACTATATCAGGGTCTGCTCTTGAGGGGGCTGCAGGAGTGGGGCAGAGGGGTCAGCCAGCAAGCAAACACAGCACCTTAATGGAGGGATCAGTGCCCCCCAATAACTGGCTGTCTCAATCGGGGCATCGCTGTGCTGGAGCATGCACAGGGCAGGCAGCCCTAAGCCCCTGTCCTGTTTGGGCTGGGGGGGTGGTGGTACGGAAGGAGACAGTGAGGTCCAAGGTAGACTCGGAGATGAGAAAGCGGTGGACAGGAAGCGTGGGGCAAAGAGCAGGCCGGCGGGAGGGGAGGGCGTGGCTCGGGGACTGTGCAGGGAGGGAAGGGATGACACGGGAGGGTGGGTTCTTGAAGAACACGGACTTTGCAGCAGCAGGCAGTCTGGGAGGAGGAGGCTGGGAAGTTCTGTCTGTGGGTCAGGATGAATGGGGGTGGTGCTGTGAGGAGGTGAGGGCTGCCCTCCACCCTCCACCCTCCACCCTCCACCCTCCGGGCTGGGAAAGCTTGGCACTTGAGTTGCAGCCTAGAGGTGAAGAAAGACGAGGGAAAATGTAAGAACAGCCTGGCAAGCCCGGCTCTCTCAACTGTAGTATTAACAGGAGGAGAGGGGTGGGAATAGGAGTGGAAGCCACAGCTTCAGCTTCTTTTTAATATAATCAATACTTAATATGTAATCAATATTTAATATATATACACGCCGAAACCGGTTTGGCTCAGCGGTAGAGCATTGGTCTACGGACTGAAAGGTCCCAGGTTCGATTCCGGTCAAGGGCATGTACATTGGTTGCGGGCACATCCCCGGTAGGGGGTGTGCAGGAGGCAGCTGGTCGATGTTTCTAGCTCTCTATTTCTCTCCCTTCCTCTCTGTAAAAAAAATCAATAAAATATATTTTTAAAAATATTTAATATTTAATATATAATATATAATATATTTCAGAAAGGGAGAGATGAGAACCGCTAATTATGAAAACCTTTGATCAGCTGCCTCCTGCACGCCCCCTACTGGGAGTTGAGCCCGCAACCCAGGCATGTGCCCTGATTGTTATCCAACCCGGACCTTTCAGTCGGCAGGCTGATGGTCTATCCACTAAGCCACACCAGCCAGGGCCAGCCTCCTTTAAGAGCCCGTCGTTGAGACTAAAACACTGATGTCGTGGACTGAGAGGGCGTGGGGCACAGGATGAGAAGGGCCATCCGTGTGGGGCGAGGAGAGGCCTCAACACCGCGGAGAGCGGATGAGGTGGGGGCCGCCTTGCGCGCAGCTGCAGTGCCTTTTGCATGTTCTTGGGTGGTGTAATGCGCAACCAAGCCAGGCCCGGAGCCGTCTGCCCGCCCTGCCCCCGCAGCAGCACCAGCGACCGGCTGTGTCCCCGCCAGCGACAAAGTGGACACTGCCCAGCGACCGGAGCCGGCCTGGGCTGAAGCCTCACCCAACGTGACCGCCCGCCCGGCGCGGCCGTCCCTGCCAACAGCCCCGCGGAGCCATTACACCACCCGGGACATGCAAAGGGCGCCCCACGGCGGCCGCCGCGGGAGCCGGGCCAGAGGGAGACGCGCCTCCCTCCCTCTCTTGTCTCCCCGCCTTAGCTGACGGCCGCCAGCTCGTGCTGCTACCCCCGCGAGGGCTGGAGGTACTCCCGCGAGTACAACGGCATCCTCGGGCCGTTCGGCGAGCTCATGACCGAGGCCGACGTCCTGCGCATCGAGCAGCAAATCGAGAACCTGCAGGTGCTGCACAAGGCGCAGAGGCTGGAGGCGCGCCTGCAGCAGCTGGAGCTGGAGCTGGAGCAGCTGCTGCCCATCTCGGCCGCGCTGTCGGCGCCGCGCTTCACCGTGGACCCGCGCCGCATGCACGGCCGCGCCGCCAGCCTGCCCGCCTGGTGCAGCAAGATCGCCGCGCTGCTCAGGAGCATGGCCTCGCTGCTGGCCGCGCTGGGCGGCCGGCCCGCGCACCTGGCCGAGCTGCTGGCCGCCGACACGGGCCAGCCGCTGGCGCCGCTGCCCGACGCGCCCTGGCGGCCCGGCCCGCTCTGCCTGGGCCGCTCGCACTCGCTCAGCTGGTGCCGCGAGGCCGTGGCGCGCGAGATCCTCGAGTGCGGCGTGTCCGTGCGCCACCTCCGCGCCGCCTACGAGCTGCGCGCCCAGGCCGCCGCGCCCCCGCGCTGCCCGCGCCGCAGGCCCTCGCTGGCCCCCGCCGGCGCCCCGGGCCGCGAGCCCATCCTGGAGGAGGACTACGCGGCGGCCGGCCCCGCCGAGCCCAGGGCCCCCGCCGCCGCCAACGGCCCGCCGCCCGCCCCGGAGCCGCGGGGCTGCGAGGACCCGCCCGGCCGCCAGGAGGCGCTGCCCGAGCCCGAGCTGCTGGCGCCCGCCGAGCTGAGCGGCGTGCAGGACTACATCGACCTGCGCAAGGAGCGCATCGTCTACCTCTTCCTGGAGCACTGGCGCCGCTGGACCTTCGGCGGCCCCGGGCGCCAGGCCCAGGCGCGCCTCCGCCGGCTGCTGCCCCGCGTGGTGGCCGCGGGCGCCGGGCCCGCCCCCGAGGCCGCCGAAGCCCCTCCGCCCGCGGCCGGCGAGGGCCCCGAGGGCCCCGACGAGCGGCTGCAGCGGCTGCTGAAGCAGCGGCAGGTGGTGGGGCGGCTGCTGGGCCGCTGGCGGAGCCTCCTGCGGCAGGTGCCCCCGCGCCAGCCGCCCGGCCCGGTCCTGGCGCACGGCCTGTACTGGCCGCAGCACTTCCTGCCGCCCCTGGACGGCGGCGCGCCCCCGCGCTACGACAGCCTCACCCTGGACCTCTTCATGCTCGGCTACTTCCAGCTGCTGGAGATGGGCCTGAGCCGCGAGGAGCGCAAGTTCCGCCACCTGCTGTGCTACGAGATGTTCGACCGGCTGGGCAGCCACCCGTGGGCGCTCATCCGCCGCTTCCACCGCGCCGTGCTGGAGGAGGTGGAGGCGGGCCGGCGGGGCTGGAGCGACGGCTTCGAGGACCTCAGGCAGCAGTTCTTTGGAGACGGCCCGGGCGCCCAGCGGCCTGGCGAGGAGGAAGAGGCCGAGAAGGAGCAGGAGGAGGAGAAAGAAGAGGAGGAGGTGGCGGAGGTGGAGAAGGTGGAGGAGGAGGAGCAGGAGGAGAGGGACCAGGCCCAAGAAGCTGCTCCAGCTCAGACAGACTGGCCAGAGGGGCAGCCGGAGGCCCCGGCGCCCGCCCCGCAGCCTCCAGCGCCCGAAGAGCCGCCCCCGCCTCCGCCAGCCGAGCCGCCCCCGCCCTTGGACCCTCCTGGTTCCGAAGCCCCCGCTGAGGACCCCCTGGAGCTGCTGTCTGAGATGGGCGAGTTCAGCAACGAGGACATCTGCCGCTACATCGACCGCAGCTTCTCCTTCTGGAAGGAGAAAGAGGCGGAGCTTTTCGACATCTGAGCCGCAGGATGCAGAATTTCTGCTCAAGCGTCTTAGCCTGGGCCTGGATACCGGCCGGAGGCCTGGATACAGGCCGGAGGCCTGGATACCGGCCCGGAGGCCTGGATGGTGCGCTCCGAAGCCAGAAGTGACCCAAGAACCCTGGAGCGTGGCCTAGGAAAACCCAGGAGGCGCAGGACCGGGCTGCCTGGCCACTGAGGTCCCGCCACGGCCGGTTTGGGGAGTGGCCGGATAGGCCAGCGTGGCACAGGGAAACCAGGAGTCCCCTCTGGCCCTGCGGCCTTGCCTGGCTCCGTGTGGAGCCGGTGGCGGGAGCGGCCCCTCTGAGCAAGGGACTGTGGGTCCCCCGTGGGGCTGTGTGGCTCTCCTCTCTCTGGATTTCACAGCTACCTCTTGGGTTCAGGTTGGGGGAGCCAGGTGTGCAGTGTCCCGTGTGACGTGTTCTCTGTAACGTGCGAGTAATAAAACTCTTCGCGCCGAAACTGGTGTGGCTCAGTGGATAGAGCGTCGGTCTGCGGACTGAGGGGTCCCGGGTTCAATTCCAGTCAAGGGCATGTACATTGGTTCCAAGCACATCCCCGGTGTGTTGTAGAGTTCATGTCTCTTGCATTTGGGAGGGGCCTTCACTGAATGCTGTGTTGTAGAGTTCATGTCTCCTCCATTCGGGAGGGGCCTTCACTGGCAGGGTCTGCGGGGGCCCAGGTCTGGGTCTGCCTGAAGATGATTGTGGGTCACAGCTGTGGGGCCATTGGTCTGCCTGCCTGTATGGTAAGGTGACCAGACGTCCTGCTTTTGGTGGGACAAATTGTTAAAAATCAATGGTTCTGCACTTGCCATCCACTCCTGCCATCTCTCAAAGTCCCTGAGAGAATCTTTCCAAAAATCGGGATTTTTTTAAAATGCCGCAGGATGCGGGACAAATTGTTAAAAATCGGGAGTGTCCCGCCAAAAGCGGGACGTCTGGTCACCTTACTGGGGAACCTCATTCCCTGCTCTCACCGCCTGCACTCGGCTCTGACCATTCTGGCACCGCCTCTGGGACACAGGCCTGCGTTACAGGGGAGAGGGACCTCTGCCTTTCAAAAGGGGGTGTGGCCAGGCTCCCCCATCCATCACCCTGTAGGAAGGTACCAGAGGGCTCTTCCTGGAGCTCCCTTTGGGTCCTGGGGCCCCTCACTCCTGCAGTCCCCTCAGCTGGGCATGCACGCCCTCTTGCCCGTACCTCCCAGCCCGGGCTACCTGGTGCTTTGTGTGTGTTTCAGGAGGAGGAAGAGGAGGCCCGGCTGGCCAACATGCCTGCCTGGAGGCGGGACCTTCTCCGGAAGAAGCTCGAAGAGGAGAGGTGAGCTGGGATCTGGCAGGGAGTCTGGATCGTATCCCTGAACTGGTGGCACCGACTAACGCTGTCTCCTTTTCCTTCCAGGGAGCAGAAGCGGTGAGTGAGGGGCAGTCCCAGCCTGCCTCCTCTCCTTTGCCTCTTCACCCAGTCCCATTGAGCTCCTCCCCGTGTCACTGGGCCTGCAGCACAGCCTCTCTGCTACCAGTAATGCCACCAGCCCCCCATAACTAGACCCGGTCCCCAGAGTCTAGTTCTTATGCTGTAATGACCATGTCCCCAATTACCCAGCCCTCTCTCTCATTAACCTAGCCTTTCTGCTCAATTAAAACAAAACAAAAACAAACAGGCGAACTTAATTTTCAGAGTATGTTTTAAATATATTATTGATTTCAGAGAGGAAGGGAGAGAGATGGAAACATCAATGATGAGAGATAATCATTGATCGGCTGCCTCCTGCACGCACGCCCCCCCACTGGGGGTCTAGCCCACAACCCAGGCACGTGCCCTGACGGGAATCAAACCGTGACCTCCTGGCTCACAGGTGGATGCCTAACCACCAAGCCACACCAGCTGGGCTACGGAGTATTTTATATAATTTGACTCATCAAAATTCAGTTATATACTTCAGTGATTATAATGTTAATTGAAGTTAGGTATTTCAATATATAATCAATATAAAATTATTTTTTAAAAATATATTTTATTGATTTTTTACAGAGAGGAAGAGAGAGAGATAGAGAGCTAGAAACGTCGATGAGAGAGAAACATCAACCAGCTGCCTCTTGCACACCCCCTACTGGGGATGTGACCGCAACCAAGGTACATGCCCTTGACCGGAATTGAACCCGGGACCTTTCAGTCCACAGACCGATGCTCTATCACTGAGCCAAACAGGTTTTGGCTCAATATAAAATTATTATTATTTTTTTAAATATATTTTTTATTGATTTTGTACAGAGAAGGGAGAGAGCTAGAGAGCTAGAAACATCGATGAGAGAGAGTCATCAACCAGCTGCCTCTTGCACACCCCCTACTGGGGATATGCCCGCAACCAAGGTACATGCCCTTGACTGGAATCGAACCCGGGACCCTTCAGTCCCCAAGCCGACGCTCTATCACTGAGCCAAACCGGTCTCGGCTCAATATAAAATTATTAATGAGACGCCCTACACTCTGAAATCTAAGTCTTTGTGATGCCATGAGCATCTTATGACTGCAACACTCCTCAATCCTACATTTCCAACCCTCAGCAGCCCATTTGCTCAGTGGCTACCGTGTCAGCAGTGCAGACCTGGGCCCCACACTTTTGTGTTGGTGTTGTTGTTTTTTTCCTGGAAAACAAAAGTGCTTTGCTTTTCTAAGTTTATCTTTATTGTTGAAAGTATCCCAAATTCTCCCATTGCCCCACATTTGAACAATTTGTCCATAATTACCCAGCCCCTGTCTCCCAATATGGTCTGCTCCCCAGAGTCCATCCTCAAGTCCAGTAACTCGGGTCCTCGCCCCAAGAATCTCCCCTGTTCCTATAACCGCCCCTCCTCACCTCAGCCACACTGCGATCAGCACCTGTTCCAGCAATGACCCGGCCACAGCCTCTAGCTCATCCAATGATCCCAAATGCCCCCAGCACCCCCTCTGCCTGCCTCCTCACCCAACCCTCCTCCAGTCCCTGGACCCTCTGCCCTAGAAGCCACTGCCCACCCTCCCCCTCATAGTCCCTCTGCCCTCAGGGGCGCAGCCCTAGCCACCACTGAGCCCTCGAGGCGCCGGCCCCCTCTCACCCTTGCGGGTTCTGTCCCGACCCCGGTCTAGAAAAGAGGAGGAGCGGCAGAAGCAGGAGGAGCTGCAGCGAGAGAAGGAGCAGTCGGAGAAGCTGCGGACGCTGGGCTACGACGAGACCAAGCTGGCGCCCTGGCAGCGACAGATCATCCTGAAGAAGGGGGACATCGCTAAGTACTAGCCGCGCTCCTCCCGCTCCTCTCCCCGGGAGCTGGGGCGGGCGGGCGGGCAGGAGGCGCCCCGCCCCCGCCTCCCCGGCCCGGATGGACCCGCTGGGACCCAGGCCACCCCCCCTCCGGCTCGGCACCCCTCCTCTGACCCCCGCCCTCGCACCCCCAGCCCCGGAAGACGCAGGAGCGCCCCCGCGCGCCCGCCACAGGCGCCCAGAAAGTGCCCAAGTTGTTGACGCAAAAGATGCTGCTTATTTGCATGGCTATTTCCATAGATTTGCATGGCCTTTGACTGTCACCGTTTGCAGAGCTCTTCCCGGCCCCGTGGGCGGCGGCTCTGTTCCCCTGCGGGACCCGCACCGGCTGCGGCCCCCTCCCCCGCGCCCCGGAACCCGCGGCGCTGGCACATCCTGGGCGGGGGCCGCCGGGCTCGGGAAGGGAAGGGGTTTTCCTGCCGCCTGACCTAGATCTGCCCGCCGGCCCGTTTCCCATCCCCGCCGAGGGCTTCCTCTCAGTCAATTGTTTACCAGAAACCATAAACGCTGCCCGTCCGGCGGGGCGGCCGCTCTGGGCCCCGCTGCCCCCGTAAAGCCCGCGCTCCCCAGCCAGGCCCCGGCCCTCGCCCGTCACCGCAGGGGCGGGTTCCTGGAGGACGAGGGGCCCGAACCCGCCCTGCCTGCTGCCTCCCGGCCCCGCGCCCCGCCGCCTCGCACCCCATTAAAGCTCTCAGACGCCGGCCTCGCTCACGTTCAATCGTTCCCCGTCGCCGGCTTCCCCTCCCCCCGGTCCCGGGGCAGCCCCGCACGGAGCGGGAGGGGAGGGGTAACGGGGCGGCCCCGCACGGAGCGGGAGGGGCAGGGACCTGGGGCAGCCCCGCACGGAGCGGGAGGGGAGGGGTAACGGGGCGGCCCCGCACGGAGCGGGAGGGGAGGGGTAACGGGGCGGCCCCGCACGGAGCGGGAGGGGAGGGGTAACGGGGCGGCCCCGCACGGAGCGGGAGGGGAGGGGTAACGGGGCGGCCCCGCACGGAGCGGGAGGGGAGGGGTAACGGGGCAGCCCCGCACGGAGCGGGAGGGACAGGCTCGGGCGCGAGGGCCACTCTGGTCCCCTCCGTGCGCCCCAGACTCTGGCGGGCGAGACTTCCGCCCTCCCGACGCCCCAGGAAGCCAAGCCCGGGCCCTTCATCCAGCCCCGAGGAAACACCAATCTGCGGCTTTTCCGAACAGATTTAATCCACGGGCGCCCGCCGAGCCATTCGGACCCCCGCCCCCGTTCCCCTCGTCCCCCTTGGGGTGGGGGGCAGGGCGGGGCGGCTGGCGCTGCTACGCAGGGCCGGGCCGGGGCACAGAATAAGTGACATAAAATGTCTACACGCGTAAGTAACAGTACTTAGGGCTGTTCGAGGGCCCTCGGGCCGCTGGCGGGCGGGCCGGCGTCACGGGCCGCGCTGCAGGCGGCCGCGCAGGTCCTCGGCGCAGCCGTCCAGCCCCATGCGCTCCAGGGCCGCGTAGATGGCGCCCAGGCCGGCGGGCTGCTGCTGGCGCCAGCGCTTGAGCATCTCGTACTGCTGGTCGCGGAAGCGGCCCACCTCCACCTCCACGGCCTCGATCTCGGCCTCGCGCAGCCCCAGCGTCCGCACGAACTCCTTCCAGCGCCGCGCGGGCACCGCGTCCATCACGTCGTAGAGCTGCGGGCCCAGCTGCAGCGTGGCGGCTGCTGAGCCCGCAGGGGGCGCTGGCGGCGGCGGGGGGCCTGGGGGCAGACAGAGACCCTGGAACGCGGTCTGCGGCAGCGGCGGGGAGGTCCTCCCGGGGAGCTCGGGACGGGAAGTGGGCACGCGGCGCCCCAGGAAACCACAGCTCTCACCGGGCCGGCGGGCGGCGGGAAGGCTTACCCAGAGCCCCGCTGCGCAGCCGCTCCCAGGACCACGGCCCCTCCGCGCCCGGCGCTTCCTGGGTCTGGGCGCAGCCAGGGGTCCAGCCGCTGCCCACCAGCTGGCCGGGGCAGGCTTTCTCACTGCCGCTGGGTGGCACCAAGAGGATGTGGGCGCTCTCAGGGGTTAAGAGGTGGGTGGTCTGGAAGCCAGGAGAGGCCCCAGGTCAGCCCTGCGTACCTAGCAGGCCCCTGGGCTGGAGCCCAGCCGGCAAGCTCCCCCAGGGCGGCCTCCGGGCGGGGCGTGTTCTCACCAGCCCCGCAGGAGAGCTGCCCTCTGCTGGAGTCCTGGCCCCTGCCCTTGCCATGGTGGCATCGTCCCCCTGAACGGCTAGCTCCCTTAACCTGAGTCCCACAGCCTCCTCAGAGCCATGCCCGAGACAGGCCCCGCGCTGCCCTCATTCCCGGGTAACTTGGCGCACGTGTTTGTTAGCCTACCCCATGCCCGCCGCGCCCGGCCTCCAGAACGTGAGCCTCACCTGCAGGGCGGTCAGGGCCTCCATCCCGGCTCCATCTGCGGGAAGACAAGAGTCCGACCAGCAATGGGCAGGGCTCCTGGGCCTGATCTGGTCCAGCTGTGCTGGGGTCCCTACTCACACACCAGCTCCCTCCGTTCCCTCTGCGTCCGGGCTGAGTGGGCTCCGGCTACCCGTCCTGACCCCAGGTTCCCAGGAGTGTGTGCATGTGCGCGTATGCATGATGTGCTGTGTGTATGCATATGTGTGTACGTGTGCGAGCATGCACACATGTGGGTATGCACGTGTGCATGCAAATGTGCACGCACTTACCAGGAACCACGGGCTTGCAGGGCTGGCAGCGGCGGTACGTGTAGGTCAGGGTGGCACTGAGCACCAGTGGAACCACCAGGCCTGCCAGGAGCACCTGGACCCAGAACACTGAAAGAGCAGTGGGTGGGTGCTGGGTGTAGCCGCCCCCCAGCTGCCCTGGGCCCTCCCCAGCTCTCCCACCCGCTGTGTCCCCAGCACGCCACCTACTCTGCCTCCAGCCGCAGGCCGCTGCGCAGGGCTCCGGACATCTCCACAGGGCGCTCCTGCGGGGGGCGGGGGTGAGGGCTGCCCGACAGCTCCGCCTGAGGGCCCCTCCCCTCCAGGCCTCTTCCCTGGAGCCTCGCTCTCCCCAGGAATGTCCCCGAAGCTCTGCTGAGATGCCCGAGTCCCCAGTAACTAGATCACAACCAGGATGTATCCGAGCTGCTTCTAGACCAGACTGCGGGCCCCCAGCATGTCCGCTCCGTCTGGATCAGACCGGCCTGGGGCCTCCCTGCCGTACCCCGCCCCGGGAAGGGTGTCTGAGATGGCAGGTGCTCTGGGGACCCACTGCCGTCCCGTGTTCAGATGGGAGTGAGGCCGCTTGCCCAGCATCCTCCAGGGAACAGGGCGGGTCCTGACTCAGCCCAGGCTTGGGATCCACCAATGCCCCTCTGTGCACGGCAAACCCTCCTCCTCACTACCGCAGCGTCCTTATTTGCCCGGCACAGGCGAATCCACGTCTCCCTTTACGTGTCTGCCTGGAGGGGGCCCACCCACCACAGGGCCAAGCCCCCTTCTCCCTGGCCCTGGCCCCACTCTGCTCCCTTCCCCCTCCCCCTCCCCCTGCCCAGGGCAGCCAGGAAGTTACGTGGGGCAGGACACACAGCTGTTGCCATGTTCATAGAAGCCAGGCAGGCAGGCGCCACATTCAGTGTCTGTGCTGGAACCTGCAGACCAGCAGACGGGGTGGGTCAAGGTGAGGGAGAGGGAGGTGGGGGGAGGGTAAAAGTGGGAGAGAGGGAGGGAGGGGGGGGTCAATGGCGCGCGTTGTGGGTACTCACAGGGCACCCGCGTGTGGCGGTGCAGGGCCCCGCAGTCCAGGCACGGGTGGCAGCGGAAGGGCACGCCGCTGATGCAGTGAGGGCCCAGGCACTCCGCAAACCAGCCCGGCGGGCACCCGCACCTGGTGTCTGCCACTGCCGAGCAGTTCTCCAGGGCCACCTGGGAGGCTGGTGGCGGTGCAGGGAGACGGGAGGCGGTTAGGGCAGAGACATCCCGCCCCCTAGAGGTGGGACAGATCCCCAGAAGAACAAACGGGATAAACCAGAGACAGGGCCACCAGCAGAGACAGGGCAGCGCACCCCACAGGCCAGGCGGGAGTGTGCAGACAGGACGGTTGCCGGGGTAAGGGGGCACCTTTGGGGAAGGGGCACAAAGGTGCCGGGGGCAGGGTCCGGGAGAGCGGCCTGAGGGGGTGATCGCAGCTCCTCACCCTGCTCGTCGCAGGCCTGGCAGCGGGTGCAGCTGGTCTCCTGGTGGTGCTCCCCGGCCAGGAAGGAGCCCTGGTGGCACGGGACGCAGGTGGCATTGCCACAGGGCTCCGTGCAGCGGGCCGCAAGGTACTGCCCTGTGGAGCCCGGGCTAGGTCAGAGAGGCAGAGGGGCCCCCGCCTCCCCTCCCCCCTTCCTACCTGTGCTCCCCACTTCTCTCCCAGCCCCCCTTCCCCCGCCCCTGGCCCGCCCCTCCCACCCGCAGCCACTCACCTGCGGGGCAGCCCCTGCAGCAGAGCGGACCGGTCCTCCTTTGAGAGCCACGGGCACACTCACACCGGGGACTGGCAGTGCCGCCCCGGCCCTGGGCACCCAGCAGGAGCAGGAGGAGGGCCTGGGAGACGGGGGCTGCTGGCTCCTGCGTGGGCATGGCTTCCCCACGCGGAGCCTCTCCCTGCCCAGTCTTCCCCCCTTTGGAGGCCCCAAGACTGTGCCCTCAGAGCAGCCCACTTCCCAGGTTCTTGAGCAGAAAGGGTGCCCGAGGGTTGGGATGGGAGACGGGCTAGGCTGGGCAAGTCGGCTCCCCCAGCCCCTCACAGGCCCCTCCCCCGGCGGAATCAGGCAGCCCCACCCCCGCCCGAGGGACCCGCTCTCTGGGACCCCAGCAGGCTGTTTCCTCTGGAAGGAAGGGCCCGCCCTGCGGAGCCTCTAACTAGGTCAGAGGGGAGGGGGAGGGGCGCCCAACCCCCAGCGAGTCTGGGCGTCAGGTTCAGGTATTCGCTATTCTCGGGACCCCCTCCTCCCCGTGCGGGCCCAGGCCCAGAGGCTTGAGGTCGCCCCTCACCCGCTCCCCACCCCTGGACCCCACTCACTGCAGCCACTGCTGCCGCCCAGCACCGGGGCTGCTGGTCCATGGCCCTGCGCCGCCGCTCTGGGCCCGGGCGGGACTGAGCCGGCAGGCCCGGCGTGTGCCTGCGGGGGCTTCCCCTCTGCCCGCCCTGCCCACCGCAGTTCCGGCCCGGCACCCAGCCGCAGGCCCGCCCCCGGGAGCCTGCCTGGGGTGGGGGTCGGGGAGCAGCCCCAGGGGCCCTGGGAGTGGAGGCCTGGCCGGGAGGCGGTCCCCAGCGCAGTGAGCTCATGGCCCCCGGGGCAGCAAGGTGCACAGAGGCCAGGGCTGCCCTGGCCCGGCGCTTGGCTTCCGGCCTCAGCCCTGAGACCACCCCCAAGGGAGGGGGTGAAGGAACTTCCCCCACGGGGTTTCAGAGCCAGGCCCCTCCAGACACTGTAAGGTGTGGGGGCAGGGCCCTCCCCTGGAGAGGAGCCCCAGACTCTCCCGGTGAGCCCAGCCGGATCGCCCACCCTGGCCTAAGCTCAGGGGGCAGCCCGGGGTGGGCACCACGTGGGCCTCGTGGCTGTATCAGGGCATGGGCTGGTTTTGGGCTGTTGGTCCGGTGGCCTCTGCCCCCTAATTCACTGCTGCTCCCCCCGGCCTCTCCCCCGCGCCCCTCCACAGATGGGGGAACAGAGCTCAGTTGCCCTGAGCCCTGAAAGGGGTGGGATCCAAAGCAAAGGACTCCTTCCGGTGGAGTATGTACAAGTCTTTATAAAAGAATCAAAGCTCAATAAATATGCAACTTTACAGCGAGCCCCGCGGGCCTGGGACGGGGAGGGAGGCGAGGGCAAGGGGCTGTCCCTCTCGGGGCCAGAGGAGAGGAGGGGGTGGCCCTCGAGTCCAGCGCAGGGGAAGCTGGTGACTCCAGGGAGGAGCGGATGCTGGGCGGGCCAGGGGCAGGTTAGTGCCAGTGGGACCGTGGGGCCATCCTGAGCTGGGCCTCTGCCGAACCCTCCTCCTCCTCCATCCAGGCTGGCCGAGCGCACACGGCCGCGCAGCAGCAGCAGCAGGTCCTGCCCGGCACTCGGCACCCGGCTTGTGCGCACACAGGCTGCTGCTGGAGCAGGGCCGCACCCTGGAGGCCTGCTGTCTGCGGTCCGTGGTCAGCGGCACCCTCGGGGGCCTCCCTCTGCTCAGACCTCCCTGCAGGGGCAGGGAGGGGAGGGGAGAGATAGTCCTTCCTTTGCTGATGCCACTCAGAGGGACTCCAGCCACCCTCTCCTCCCCGCTACAATCCTGATCTCTGACCCCCCACCGCTGCTTGCCGAAGACACCCACAGCCAAGCTCTGGGGCAGGCCCATAGCCCTGGGTGCCAGCGCCCCGGCCCACCCCCAGGGCTCAGTGCCCCGTGCCAGCACACTGGGCCGCCTGCCCTCGCCGCCCCGGCCACTCACGAGGCGGTGAGCGTGGAGTTGAGCAGCAGGGTGGTCCGGATGCGGTAGAGCTGGGCCAGCGTCAGCTTCCGGTGCTGGGCGGAGACCCCGGGGGGCGGCTCCGGCTGGACCCCGGGGGAGGCCCCTGAGGGCAGCTCTCCGCTCCTCCTGGCGGGCCCTCGGGGCTCCTCCGCCGGGCAGGCGATCCTGCCCTCCGTCTCCGACGGCCGGGGGCCACCGCCAGGGCTTGGCGCGCCCCCGCCATGCCAGCGGGGCCCAGCTTCGTGGGTGGAGCCTCGAGTCCGGGTGCCAGAGGCCGTGGCAGCCAAGCAGAGTTCCGACAGGCTGCGGCTGGGGGCCGGGGGCGCCCCCCGGGCCGTGGCCCCCGCCAGCAGCTGGAGGAGGCTGGCCTCGGACTTGGACTTGAGCAGGCGGGGCAGGCGGGGCAGCAGCTGGACGGGGGTGCGGCGGCGGAGGCGGGGCGAGGGCGGGGGCGAGGGGGCTTGTGGCGAACCGGGGGGCCGGGGCGCGGGCTCTGCCGCAGGGGCTGGGGTCGCGAAGTCTTGCAGGGAGGTGGGGGACAGGGTGCCGTAGGCGGAGTCCATGGAGCAGGAGCGGCTGTCCCCAGGACCCAGGGCCAGCAGCTCGCTGGTCGGCGTGACGGACGAGGCGGTGGTGCCGAGGGACATCTCGTCCGACTGGGAGCTGAAGGGGCCGCCCTCGAACTCGGGAGAGGACAGCGGCTCCCCGGGCTCCACCACCACCATGGCCAGGGTCTCCGTGGAGCCGTCCGAGGCGCTGCGGACCGGCGGGAAGGGAGTCAGCCCCGGCGGGCACAGCAGGGCTCCACGGCCTCGGCCGGCCCTGCCCGCTGGAGGCTCAGAGATGGCAAACATGGCACGGGCCCAGACCCCCCAGCTCCTGTGCCCACAGCGGACACCAGCATGGCATCCGTCCCCATCACAGACTCTTTCCCGTGGGACACGGCCTGAGAGCCCTCAGCTGGCTCCCGGCAGGCAGCTACTAATGAGGCAGAGTTGGCGTTCAAGTAGAAAATCCTGCGCCAACCCCGCGTGTGGCTGGGGCAGCCACGCTCCCATACCAGAACCCACACCCACCCCGGCTGGGCTCAGCACGAAGCCTTTCGGAGACGGGGACTGGAGCCGGGCCCTGCCCAGGCCTGCCGGGGCCCTGGCCACGCGTACCAGTGCTGGGAGTCCAGGCTGTTGCTGCTTTTGCGCAGGATGGTGGGGGAGCTGGCGGCGGAAGTGCTGCTCTCCCCACCCTCCTCTTCCTCGTCTTCCTCCTCGTCTTCCTCCTGCTCGTCCTCCTCCTCCTCCTCTTCTTCCTCCTCCTCCTCCAGGCTCTGCAGGTGCTGCTGGCTGCCTGCATGCTCCTGTGCACGCAGCTGCTGCAACTGGTTCTGCAGGGGGGCAGCGCCACGGGGGCAGGTGGGCTGTGAGCCACGGCCCCCACCCGGCCACCCACCCACCCGCCCGCCCTCTGCGCAGCACCCACTCACCTGGGCGTTGTAAATGGCGTCCACCCAGCCCCGACACAGGGCCTGCCCGCTGGCCTGGAAGGCGTAGGCCCCCACCGCGCTGTGGAACTCGTTGAGGTGGATGAGGAGGAAGGAGCCTGCTCGGGAAGGGCTCGGGTCAGGGCCAGCCAAGCCCGCTGCCGCCCGCCCGTCACAGCCCCGGCCCGGGGGCGGGCTCCTCACCAGGGTCCCGCAGCTCCCGGCACACAATCTTGTCCACCAGCAGCGGCGGCCTGATGACCTTGGTCCTCTCGGCCTTCTTCACCGCCTTGGTCACCAAGAGCAGGTCCGTGAAGAGGAAGCAGTACACGTCCATCTGGGGGCGGGCAGCAGGAGGCCAGGGGTCAGAGCCTGGGTCCCGGGGCCTCAAGCAGGGACCCTCTGCCTGCCCGCTGCAGCGCCCTCTCCTGGGGACGCTCAGACTTTGTCAGACACCTGCCCTGCCCGACGCCCATGAACGTGAGAGCAAGCGCTTGCTCAGTGGTCGGCAAATCACGGCTGGCGAGCCACATGCAGCTCTTGAGCCTCAACTTGCCGCTCTGTTGACTAATGAGTTTGCCGACCACTGCTAGACTAAATGTTACTGTGTAGCTGGGAGCTGGGAGGATTAGGAAATTTATATTGTGTGCGAATAGGTAAAGGGTAGTTAGTATATGACAATGGTCGGCAAACTCATTAGTCAACAAAGCGTCAAACCATGGCTCGAGAGCCGCGGTTTGCTGACCACTGCCCTAGCTGGTTTGGCCCAGTGGATACAGTGTCAGTTTGCGGACTAAAGGGTCCCGGGTTCGATTCCAGCCAAGAGCACATGCCCAGGTTGTGGGCTAGGTCCCCAGTGGGGGGTGTCCAGGGGGCAGTCTATTGCTGATTCTCTCTCATCATTGACGTTTCTACCTCTCTGCCTCTCCCTTCCTCTCTGAAGTCAATTTTAAAAAAAAGGAAGAACAAGATGACTTTCTTCCATTGAGCTATAGGCTTGTGACTTAGTTAAATTAAAACTTGATATTAAAGAGGAAAGGGAAGTAAATTTTGTTTTATTTTTAACGTATTCTTATTGGTTTCAGAGAGGAAGGGAGAGTGAGAGAGAGAGAAATGTCAATGAGAGCGGATCATTGCTTGGCTGCCTCCTGCACGCCCTCTACTGGGGATCGAGCCCGCATGTGCCCTTGACCAGAGTCAACCGGAATCCTTCAGCACACAGGCTGGCATTCTGTCCCTGGGAGGTAACTTTAAAACCCTGAGTTGCAGGCTCCGGCTACATGAGGCATGACAGATTCCTAGCTCAGTGCAAGGGTCTGTTCCCGGCCTGCTGATACGGTGTGCCCCTCCCGGCCCCCAGCAACCACATGACACCCACGGGCTGTGGCCACACTGCTGTTTGTAAAGCGCAAACTGCAGGCAGATGGTCATCCCACAAGGTCACTAGTTGTTGAATCGCCGCCCACCTGACTGGGCAGCTGAGACCCACTGGCTCTGCCCAGGAGGTGCCCGGGAAGGGGTGGTCCAAGCCTGCAGGACCAGGGGGGCAGGGCAGGGGCGCTGCCCACGGGGCGGCCCCTAGAGTCACCTTGCTGTCCTTTCCCTCCTTCATCCGCAGGCTGCCCTCCATCAGCAGCTGCCGCGTCTCCTCCGGGGAGGCACCCGGGATGGGTGCCGTCAGGTCCAGGTGCAGGAACTCCTTCAGGAGCTGCGGGGAGGGCGCAGGTGCGGGGTCAGGGCTGGCCTCCCGGCTCGGCCAGGAGTCCCCACGCCAGACTCCCTCCAGCACAGCCCTCCTGCCGGTCTGGCCAGGTCGCCCACCTTGTCCACCTCGTCGTTGCTGCCCTCCACCGCCTCGTAGGCGTCGATGCGGCTCACCACGGCCGCCAGCCGCTGCCGCTCCTGCCGCTGCCGCATGCACGCGTTCACGTGGTGGATGAAGCGCTCTACGGAGCCGATCTGGGGGCGGACAGGGGCTGGCTCAGGCCCGGGTCCGGGAGCGGCCCGGCCGCAGAGGGACCCGCGCCGCCCTGGTTACCATGGTGACGACGGCCTCCTTGGCGCGCGGCTCGTCCGTCTTGCGCAGCACAGACTTGAGCAGCAGCGGGTACTTGGTGAGCCGCTGGTGGGGCTTGGCCAGCATGTCGCTCAGCTTCAGCCGCTGGCACTGCTGGTGCTTCTCGGCCCACTGCGGCGGGAGGGGCGGGGCTCAGACCAGGCCCCGCCCCGGTTCCCAGGCCCCGCCCCGGACTCACAGGCCCCGCCCCGATCCACAGGCCCCGCCCCCGGTGCCCAGGCCCCGCCCCCGCCAGCTCCGGAGCACCCGCGGCCACGGTGGCCCCCGCGCCCCGGCCCCCGGCCCCCTCACCGTCACGTAGGCCCGGAAGAGGTCGCTGTCGCGCAGCAGGCCGCGCATGTACTCCATGCAGCCCTCCTCCTCCATGCAGTACCGGATGTAGGGCTTGAAGAGGGAGCCGAACTGGCCGGAGGGACAGCACCGGTCACCGGACGCCCCAGCGGGCCGGGCCCCCCTCCAGCTCTCCCTCAGGCTCTTCCGCGGCCACCCCGCGGTGACACGCCTGTCACCCCCCTTTTCCCATTCGACAAGACAGCCCCTCGGCCGGCGTGACCCCCTCGGCCGGGCAGCCAGGGCAGCCGGCCGGGCGGGGCCGAACTCCGGCGACCACCTGGGAATCGCTCGCCTCTGACCACCAGGAACCGGGCGGGGCCCCTCTCCCAGGAGGTGGGGTGATGAGCCGATGAGACCGGCGCCCCCGCCCCGCTGCCGCGTCTGCCCTTCACCCTCCCGGGCGGGCTGGGTCCGCACCAGCTTGAAGCCTTTGAGGAGGTCTCCGGGCTGCAGCAGCGCCCGCGTGCGCCGCGCCTTCTCCACCATCGGCGCCATCACGCTGCCCCACAGCCCGCGGTGCAGGCGCGCGATCTCGGGGACGTTGCTGAACAGGCGCTCCGCCTCCACCTGCGGGCGGGAGGTGCGCTCGGCCCCGCCCCGGCCCCGCCCCCGGCCTCCAGGCCCCGCCCCGGCCTCCAGGCCCCGCCCCCAGCCCGCCTCGGTTCATCCTCCCCCTTTCCTCACCCCCTCCTCCATCCCGGCCTTCTGAAGCCACGCCCCACGCTTCACCTCCACCCTCTTCTAGCCCCGCTCCCCACCTCCACCCCTGCTTAAGCCCCTCCCCCGACACGCCCCCATCCTATCCCCGCCCCCAGGCCCAGCCTACCTCACACAGCAGCCCCGCCTCTTGCAGGTTCAGGAGGCAGCACAGGAACAGCTGTGGGGGGACGGGCGCTGCAGCTTGGGGGTGCCAGTCCCGACTCCCCACCCAGATTCTTAGGCTCCCCTCTCCCCCTCACGCTTCCCAGGAGGCTCTGAGGCACCCAGGGACAGAGAGGGTTCCTTTTCAGAAAACGCCCAAACCCCATGGCCCGCTGGAGGGTCGCCCGGTCCAGGCTCCACTCTGCCCTGGCTCAGCCTCCGAGTGTCCGCTCAGAGGGGGCCTTCCTGAACCCCCAAGCCCAGGCCAGGTGCTCCCCCCAGATCAACGTCCTCACACACACACACATTCCCCAGTGCCTGCCCACTCTGCCTCCCGGCCAGAGTGCGGGAGCTGGGCCTGGCACAGCAGGTGTCAGGAATGGCCGTTGACGGAGTGAACCAGGCATGAGGCCGGGTTCGCTCTGCTCCGCCCACGAACCCACCCGGAGCCTTCCAGAAGCAGCCCTTCTTGCTTTCCTCCCGCTTTGTGGTCTGGCCACTACCCCCTCTGCAAAGGCCCTAACTCTGCGGGGGGGGGGGGGTCCAAAGGGAGCAGGTGGGTGCCCTGGGCCGGAGCCCCGCTCACGTTAGTGATCACCCGCAGCTTCTTGATGTAGGAAACCTCCGTGTGCAGGAGCTCCCACACCGCCTCCTGCTGGTGGCACTGCCTCCGGGTCAGCTTCTGAGGGAAAGCAGGGTCAGCCAGGGAGCGGGAGGGAAGCGACTAGATGGTAACCTCTTTCTCCCCTCCCCCATAGAGACCCAGGGGTCCCCCAAGTTCTGGGCCCTGCTCTATCTGCCACTAAGACATCTAAACGGCACCCCGTAATCTCACTTTGCCTCAGTCTCCCCAAGTGGGTCAGCGATGACAACAGCTCCCCAGGGCTGTCCTGGGAACATGCTGCCACGGGCGCTCAGAGGGAGCAGGGGGAGGCTGTGGGGAGCACCCACCTCATGCCCATCGATGAGGTCCCGCCAGCTGTCCTCCAGCCACAGGCAGGCATCGTCCTCCTCCTCTTCCTCGTCCCCCTCCTCCTCCCACGAGTCCTGGTCGAAGCGCAGCCGCCGGGGCAGCCGGGGCAGCCCGAAGAGGGCGTAGGCGTGCAGCTTGCCCTCCAGCTGCTCCATCTTGTCCACCTCCTGGCAGGAGACCGGCGTCAGGGTCAGGGGTCAGGGCCGGCGCTGCCCCGCCCCGGGCCCCCAGGCCCACGTACCCGGCCGAAGACGCTGGCACTGGGGCCCGAGCTGAAGAAGCCGCTGAAGCGGCTGGCGGCCCGGTTCTTCCAGCTGTCGCTGCCGCCGCCGCCCCCGGTGGGCAGCGAGCAGCTGGAGGGCGCGGGGGGCTCCTGCCCGGGGATGCTCGCCTCGCCCAGGAACTCCGACATGTTCTTGCGGCGGCGCCCAGGGGCCTGGCCAGGGAGGGGGGTCAAGGCCGGCCCTGCCCTGGTCCCCACAGCCCCGCCCTGGGGGGTTTCCAGGGCCGGGGGCCAGGCCGTGACGGGGAGGGTCTCTGCAGGATGTGCTCTGGGGGCGGGAAGATCCAGACACAGACGCATCTGGACCCCCCCAGCCTCCCAGCCACAGCGCAGAGCCGGCGGGGGGGGAGAGTCACACTCAGTGCACTTAGGAGGATCCACCACACACACACACACACACACACACACATGTACATACACGCACACACGCACACGTATACACATGCACACACAGTGGCACACAATGTCTGCTTATACACCCACATGCACACATACGTACACACTCGCGGTCAGTGACACACAACACCTGCTTGTACACACACACACACACACACACACACACACTCGCTGGGCACAGGCAGACTCTCAGAGACAGACTACCACCTTAGATCCAAAAAGGGCCCCGTTTTCCAAAGGGGAGATAAAGCCCCAAGAAGGAGCAGTGAGGGCCTGGCCGACCTCCCGGGGCCCTTCCCTGCCGTCCCCCCCCTCACCAGGATGTCCAGGCGGCTCTGGGGGTCGGCGCGCTCCAGGCCCGGGGGCCCAGCTCCGGCTGGCCGCAGGATGGGCAGACTCAGGGACTTGGCGTCCTTCACGCCCTGCTCCACCTTCCCCTCGTCCCCCGGCTTGGCTGGGGCGGCATGGGGGGCAAGGAGAGGTCCTCAACGCCCAGGTCTGGCAGGAGAGGGGGCTCGGGTCCTCTCTGCCCCCCGGGATCCAAACCCAGGCCTTGCTGCCCGCCCGGAGGCCCCGCCCTGCACCGCCCGCGGACACCTGTATGGTAATGAGCTGCTCAGGGCCGTTGCCAAGGGGAACCTGAGCCTGGGGGAAGCGCTCCTCTCCAGGAGGCCCGGCCCGTCTCCACCCCGCCAGCTGCTCACCTTTGACCCGCAGGTAGTGTCCCCCGAACCTGTAGGCCTCGAAGGTGAGGGACAGGGGCGTGTTGGACTGGTCCAGGTAGATTTCCACTTTGCCCAGCGCGATGCCCTTCCTCTCAAAGATGGGCAGCAGCACCTCCCTGCCCGGACAGGAGCGAGTCTGTTCAGGGACAGTCCACCCCCACCCTCCCCAGCTCCACCCGCCTTCCCAGCGGAAAAGGGAGCACTCACGGAGCCTCACACAAGCACACGGACACACAGGTGTGTGCACACACCCCCACACCCCCCAGAGGCGTGTCCCGCGCATCAGGGCGGGCCCTGGGCCACGCACACGGGCTAGGACAGCTCACACAGGTGCAGGGGCCTGGCACACCCCAGGGGCGGGCCTTCCCACACCTGAGGGCCATGCTCACTGGTCACCCACCACACAGACACACACAGGCATCTGTGCAGGAGCCCGCCCCGGCCCCGGCCCACTGCCCGCCAGGCCCCACCCCAGGGACTTCTTCTTCACGGCCGGCACAATCTCCGTCTCGATGTCCACGTTCAGGTCAAACTTCAGGGTGAAGCACTCCTTGCTTGGGTCCTGAGAGGACGTGGGCCTCAGCTTCTGTGGCCCCTCTTCCTGCCCTCCCCACCCCGGGACCTAGAAGGGGACCCCCAGCAGGGGAGTGACCGCAGGGAGACCCCAGCCACCTGTGTCCCAGGGAGGCCGCCAACGTCCCCGAGACCGAGGGACGTCCCCCAGCCTCCCTCCCCACCTGGCTAAGGCGGGCCGTGCTGGGCCACGGGCAGGTGGTGAGGGAGGGACCCCCTGGGCCACCCCCGGCCCCGGAGCTCAGCAGACGGGCCCGGAGCCTGCCGGGCCTCCTGCCAGCAGCCCCTTACATCGGTGTGTCTCCTCCTGGCCTTCTTCCTGGAGAGTTTCAGGCCTGAGTTCTTCCGGTCCCTGCAGGGAAGCCAGGGGGGACGGGGGTTGGAGGCACGGTGGGTCCTCACCAGGATGTGTTGTGAGTGGGCCCTGGCTGCCTACCCACTCTTCCACAAACACCCCCACTGACCAAGGAACGCAGGTGCCCTCAGGCCGGCGAGGGCCCAGGAGGGGCTGTGCGCCCTCTGGCGGCCACCACAGGAATCACACCCAGGGGCACTTGGCCAGGTGAAGCCTGCAGGCTGGCCCAGGCCAGGTGGCCTCCTCCAGCAAGCAGGAAGCGGCAGCCTGGGAGGGGTCTCCAGCCAGCCCCTGGGAGGCGGGAAGCCGCTGGCCCCTGGATCTTTGATCTGAGACCCAGCCTGTCTTCTCGCCCCCCTTCCCCTCACCTACCCTTTGCCATCCGCGGAGCTCTCCTCCTCCTCCTCCAGGTCCACGGCAGGGCTGGTGCGAGGGGGGCATGACCGCGTGGACACATTCCGGGCCAGGACAGAGCCTTTAGGGTAAAACGGAGTGGGCTGTGCCCTGGCTGGTGTGGCTCAGCGGACAGAGCATAGGCCTGGGGACTGAAGGGTCCCGGGTTCGATTCCGGTGAAGGGCACATGCTGGGTTGCAGGCCCGGTCCCCAGTGGGGGGCGTGCAGGAGGCAGCCAATCAGTGATTCTCATCGTGGATGTTTCAATCTCTCTCCCCCTCTTCCTTCCTCTCTGAAATCAATGAAAATTATATTTAAAAAGCAAAACAAAAACAACACTGCCACCACTGTGGCCCGCCCCCCACTAGCTAGGGCCCCTTGGTTCAGTGAGGGGAGGCGCTCAGTCACTGCTTAGCACCTGGTCTCCCCGATTCCCCTGAGAGGACACTGTAGGGGACATCCCGCTCTCAATACAAAGCCACCTGCTGCCTCAGTTTACCCTTCTATGAAATCAGGATGAGGAAGCCAGCCTCCGGGGTTCCTGCAGGAAGGGCCCAAGGCCCAGGGCTCTTTCTCTCAGGCCTCCCCGCCCCCACCCTGCGGCCAAACCCAAGGTCTCAGGCGGCCTGGCCCAGGGGCAGAGTCTTTCTGGGCCTCTGACCGGCTGAGGAGGAGACAAAGGGCTGCGCCCAGCACAGCCAGTTGGCTGTGGGCCCGGCCAGGTCCCTATTCAGCAGGAGGGGTTTCTTGTTTCCGGCTACAAGTTCCTCTGACCTGCTCCCCCCACCCCGCCCCCCGAGGCCCTGCCCGAGGACAGGAAGAGAGGGACCTTCGCCCGAGGGCCCCATCCAGGCGCAGGGCAGCCGGGGAGGTGCTCCCGAGATGGGCCCAACCCCCAGCCCTTTCTCTTGTTCAAAAGCCTTGTAGGGCCAGGCCGGTGTGGCTCAGTGGTTGAGTGTTGACCTATAAACCAGGAGGTCAGGGTTCGATTCCCGGTCAGAGCACATGCCCGAGTTGCGGGCCCGATCCCCAGTGTGGGGTGTGCAGGAGGCAGCCCATCAAGGATTCTCTCTTATCATTGAGGTTTCTATCTCTCTCCCTCCCTCTCTCTGAAATCAACAAAAACATATTTTAATAAAAAAACAAACAACTTGCGGAACAAAAGGGACTGAAACATACTTGCGTTTCATAATTTACAGTCAGCTCTCATCCTTCTGACGGCTCTGCCAGGGTTCCCCCAGGTACCAGGACAGGGTGCCCCCAGAAGGGGGATTTGGGGCAACCCTGGGCACCGCAGGGCCAGGTTGGGCATCCCGGTCCGTACTCACCCTGGGGGGGCAGGTCGAAGCGGACGTGCCCGTCATAATGCATGGCGCTGTGGAACTTGCTGTCACAGGCCTGGCAGAGGTTGAGGGGGCCCCGGCGGTGCAGCTGCTGGCAGTCGGCGTGGTGGCATACCTGCGGGCGAGGGTGGGAGGTGGGCTGTGGCCAGATCTCGGCCGGGCCCAGGGGGCCTCCTGTGCCACTCTGACAAAAGCAGGGAAGCCCCATCCCTGCCCAGCAGCGCAGTGCCCAGAGGCAGACTTGGAGTGAGTACCCAGAAGGCGGGGGCAGCGGGGCCTCTTCCCGGGGCGCAGGCAGGAAGGACCCCCAGAACCGAAGCTCAGGCTGCCGTTCGGTTGGGCAGCGCCGTGTTTAATGGGTCCCGGGTTCAATTCCGGCCCAGGGCACATGCTTGGGTTGCGGGCTCGATCCCCAGTAGGGGGTGTGCAGGAGGCAGCTGATCCACGATTTTCTCTGCAGGAGGCAGCTGATCATGGATGTTTCAATCTCGCTATCCCTCTCACTTCCTCTCTAAAATCAATAAAAATAATAAAAACAACAACAGCCCTAACTAGTTTGGCTCAGTGGATAAAGCATCGGCCTGGGGACTAAAGGGTCCCAGGTTCGATTCCGATCAAAGGCATGTACGTTGGTTGGGGGCACATCCCCAGTAGGGGGCGTGCAGGAGGCAGCTGATCGATGTTTCTCTCTCATTGATGTTTCTAGCTCTCTATCCCTCTCCCTTCCTCTCTGTACAAAATCAGTAAAATATAATTTAAAAAAATAAAGAAAAAAGTGTGTCCTCAGGTGAGGATTTTTAAAAAACTGTTTTTAGAGAAGAAATACCCATTACTTTTTATTTATTTTTTTTTGTGGGGGGGGGTGTCTTTTGTGACACAGGTTTTTTTGTTGTTATTCTCATCCGAGGATACTTTCCATTGGTTTTATAGAGACTGGACGGGAGCCAGGAGAGACAGACAGAGAGAAACACGGATGTGAGACACACAGACTGCCTCTCACCGAGCCCCAACCAGGGCCGCGATCCAGCCTGCAAGTGAGGCACGTGCCCTTGACCGACCAGATCGAACCTGGCGCCCTTCAGTCTGAAGGCTGACACTCTATCCATTGAGCTGAACTGGCCAGGGCCAAGCAGGGAGCCCCTCAGAGGACAGCAAGGTCCTCAAATGACCCGCCCGTGGGTGAGCTGAGACCACGCCGTCTTCCAGGCAAATTGCCGAGGGGCAACCTTTCGGTGCACAGGACAACACTCCAACCACTGGGCCACCCCGGCCAGGGCACAAGGCTCCAGATCCCAGGTTTTCACCACACTCCCCCCGCTGCCACCACCACCACCGCCACCGCCACCGCCGCCACCGCCACCACCGCCGCCACCGCTGCCACCACTGCCGCCACCACCACCACCGCCACCACCACTACCACCGCCACCGCCACCACCGCCGCCACCGCCACCACCGCCGCCACCACCACCACCGCCACCGCCACCGCCACCGCCACCACCGCCACCGCCGCCACCACCGCCGCCACCGCCACCACCGCCGCCACCACCACCACCGCCGCCACCGCCGCCACCGCCGCCACCGCCGCCACCGCCACCACCGCCGCCACCGCCACCACCGCCGCCACCGCCGCCACCGCCACCACCGCCACCACCACCGCCACCGCCGCCGCCACCACCGCCACCGCCGCCACCGCCACCACCGCCGCCACCACCGCCGCCACCGCCACCACCGCCGCCACCACCACCACCACCACCACCACCACCGCCACCACCGCCGCCTGGTGCCTGAGAGGCAGCGTGGAGGGGGAGGCTGCTGGGCCCGCCGGGCCGTGGGGACGAGAGGAATCCTGCTTTGGCTCCTGCGTCCCCCACTCCTCCCAGGACAGAGGCATGGCTGGCAGGACGCTGGCTCCCGGGGTCTGGCCCCAGGCAGGCGGCTGTGACCATTCTGGCCCAGATCCCGAAGGCGGCTTCAGCCCCCCGCCCCCTCAGGCTCTGAGGTCGGACTGAGGACTCCCTTCAACCAAGGAGCTGTCTGTCTCCTTCTCCCAAAGGAAGCGGGAGAGCCACTGGGCTCGGCTCCATCCGCCTGCCCACCTCGGGGCCCGCCCGCCACCTCGGGGTCCGCCCGTCCACCTCGGGGCCCGCCCGCCACCTCGGGGTCCGCCCGTCCACCTCGGGGTCCGCCCGTCCACCTCGGGGCCCGCCCGCCACCTCGGGGTCCGCCCGTCCACCTCGGGGTCCGCCCGTCCACCTCGGGGCCCGCCCGCCACCTCGGGGCCCGCCCGTCCACCTCGGGGCCCGCCCGCCACCTCGGGCCGAAGGGCGCGCTAACAGAGGGTCTGGCTTTGCCCCAGAGAATCCAGGGGAGGCGCCTGCCTACTTGAGCCTTCTCCCCGGTGCCACAGCCAGCGGCCGTCAGTCCTCTCGCCCCGAGTCCAGCCTGGCCCAGAGCCACTCTGACCCTGTTCGGGCCTCTGGCGATTTCCGACGGCTTCATCTGCTGGTGCCAGGCCTGCTCCCCCTGCCCCCAATCACCAAACCACAGGGTCTCCCCAGAGCAAAAGTGGGGCGCCCCTTCCTTCTCTCAGACCAGGTGCCCAGGCCCCTTCCTCTGCCCACCATTGCGCCCTCTGCGGGCACAGGCGGGGGGCAGCAGGGCCCAAGGGTGCCAGGACTCAGCCCGGAGGCCACTGCCAGCAGATGGACCGGAACTTCACCAACAGGGGGGAGGGGAGAGGGGCTGGGGAAGCAGGTCAAGGCCGCTCCCTGGGGAGGGGGCTCCGGAAGGGTCCTCCTCCTCCGAGGGCGGCCGGCAGGAGTAAGGGGTGTGGCAGGCCCGGGCAGAGGCAGGAGGGGGTGCGAGGGGCAGGGCCTGGGCCCCACGGGGTGCCTGGAGGCCGCCCAGACACAAAAGCCAGGCTGGGCAGCCCCCCTCTGCCTCCAGCCCCGCGGTGGCGGGAGGGGGCACACGTCTCCCCCTTCCCCCGGTGGGCGCCCCACTTCCCCGGTGGGTGCCCCACTTCCCCGGTGAGCCCCCCACTTCCCCGGTGGGCGCCTGGACGGGGCTGGGCGGCTGCGGGCGCCCTCCCGCCCGGGAGACGTTCTGGGCCCCCCTCCCCCGCCCCTCCGCGCCCCTACCTGGCCGTCCCGGCCGCGGGCAAGACCCCCGGCCCAGCAGGGCGCCGAGTCCGGGGAGGGCACCCCGGGGCTGGGCCTGGAGGCCGCGCGGCGCCCGGAGACGCCGGGCCCGGTGCCCATGGCGGCCGGAGGGAGCGGCTGTGCGGCCGGACAAAGCATGGGGCCCGCTTCCTGCCATTGTGCGCCGCCGCGCCGGGCGCTGGGACCCGGGGGACAGCGGGGGGCCGGGCGGGGGAGCTGCCCGCCTGCCGTGTCCCGCCTCCCCCCGTCCCCCCCCCGCCTGCACCCCAAGCCAGGCCCTCGGCTCAGGTCCCCCAGGACCCGCTTCTCCCGGTGGAGCTCCCCGAATGCTGGTGGCAGAAGGGGGGGCCGGGACAGGGGCACATTCCCCTCCGGGGCTCAGACTCCGCCCTGTCCAGCCCCCAGACACCCCGCTCTGCGCTGACCCCCAGCTTCCCAGCCTTACCGGAGCCGGCGGGCCGCTCCCTGCGCCCGGGCCCGGCAGCCGGGGCCGCAGGTGCCCGGCGGGAGGGAGGAAGGTGGGGGGCCGGGAGGGAGATGGTCAGGAAAACCCCAAGCCCAGCACGACTTTCCCCAGGTCCCTGCGGCTCCAGTGGGGTGCACCCTCGTGCCCCGCCGCCAGGGGGCGCACGGGGAGCCAGAGAAGCGCCACCAGGACATGCTGGGGTCCCCGGCAGGGTGTCAAAGCGGGTTACCTTCCTCCCCAGGCGGAGAGGGCGGGCCTGTGGCCTCCATCCAGAGTGTGGGTTCACAGTGGCTGAGTCCAAGGCAGGGCCAGGATGCAGGCCAGGAATGGCACTCCAGTCCCCGTGGGGGGAGGGGAACCTGCCATCACCAGCCCCCACCCCTCAGACAGCTCCTCCCGACCTGTTCCACCCGGACGGGGTGCGGCAGGCTGGCCTCTGAGCGTGGCCCCGGGAGGCAGCGGTGTCTTAGGGGCTGGGAGGCCCCAGAGGCTGCCTCCCACCTAGAGCCTCTGTCACGCTGTCCACACACAGGCAGACCTGAGCACTGAAGCCTGGTCATGCACCCCCTTAAAATTCTCCAGTGGCGCCCAAACCGGTGTAGCTCAGTGGATCGAGCGTCAGCCTGCAGACTGAAAGGTCCCGGGTTCGATTGCGGTCAGGGGCATGTACCTTGGTTGCGGGCACATCCCCAGTAGGGGGTGTGTAGGAGGCAGCTGATCGATGTTTCTAACCCTCTGTCTCTCCCCCTTCCTCTCTGTAAAAAATCAATAAAAGAATATTTTAAAAAATTCTGCCAAAACCGGTTTGGCTCAATGGATAGAGCGTCAGCTTGGGGACTGAAAGGTCCCGGGTTCGATTCTGGTCAAGGGCATGTACCTTGGTTGCGGGCATATCCCCAGTAGGGGGTGTGCAGGAGGCAGCTGATTGATGACTCTCTCTCATCGATGTTTCTAACTCTCTATCTCTCTCCCTTCCTCTCTGTACAAAATCAATAATATATATATATATATATATATATATATATATATATATATATATATATATATAAAAATTCTCCAGTGGCTTAGGACAGACCCCCACGTGGCCTGACTCCCGCCTCACCTCCAGCGGGTCCGGCACAGTGGTCCGCCCTGCGGCCTCCCCCCCCCAGCTCAGCTCAGTGCCACTCAGCTCGCTCTGTCTGGAACAGCGTGTGCCCCTGACTTTGCCACGCTGGCACCGTGCCCCCACCGACAGGCCCCTCCCCGGAGGCCTCCACCTCCTCTCGAAGGGAAGAGCCCCCCACGCCGTCCCTGAGCCCCCAGCACGCTGCCCCCTGAAGTGCCCCTTCTTCTTTGGCCCCGCTTCCTGCAGGCATGCCCGGAGGCCAGAGGCTCAGGCCCCTGCCTCCTCAGCCTCCCCCGGCCTGGCACTCAGCAGGTGCTCAGCGCAGACCAATGACTGATGGATGGAGACAGAGCTGGGTCCATGCCCTCCCGCTGCCCGAC